TATATATATATACATACATAACATAATCAAAATAAGAGTTCTTTGTCAGAATCTAGTTATTTTATCATGATCATGGTATATAGTGCTTAAAAGGTGTTTGTTTTTTGTTGAGAGATTTGACTATGCACCCTGCATTTCTAATGAACTTGATTAATTTGACAAAAGAAGTTGAAAAATGACTGAAAACTTCTTCAAATTAATAATTTCAAATTCTATTTGTATTCTTTTTAAAATAGGTCTTCTTTAAAGATTCTATGAAATGTTTTTTTATTTATTTACAGACTAGAATTTTGGTGACTCATTCATTGACATACCTGCCTCAAGTGGATTACATTTTTGTAATGAAAGATGGTTCTATCGCAGAACATGGGTCATTTTTTGAACTGATGGAACGTAAGGGACCTTTTGCTGATTTCTTGATTCAATATGGTAACCAAGCAGATGATTTTGAAGAGGTGGATCCTAAAGTCCGGGAACTGATGAGGCAAGTATTTGATACCTTAATTTAAATTGACTCTGATCAGGCACACTAGGCTGCCTAATTGTATGTTGTTTTCATCGAGACCCTATTTTCCAGATTGCAGTCCCCCTCGTAATTTTTATAGTCAAGAATCTAAAACTTTTGGCAAATATTTTTGTGTATGATTCTATAAACAGAGATGATTATGCTCCGGAAATAATCCGGATTTCTAGATTTAGCCACGATCTGAAAGTTTTCGGAAGCCCGAGGTTCAGAAATTTCAAGAAATAATCAATCACATTTATGTATAAAATTTCTTGCATATTTTATTTTGAAGTATTAGAACTAGAGTTTATACTTGGCATCTCTTTCATTTGTAAATATTTTTTCAGGTGTAATAATAAATGTGATTAGACATATTAGTAAACTTATGCATAATTATCCATTTAAATTATGCTGCATATAATTTATTTAGAATTTCATGTTTTGAAAATATTGCTCACATCCACCCCTGCTGATTTTCTCGATAACAAAATATTGTGTCTTTATTTTTAACTTTTCATCCTGATATTCTTATTTTTGTTTTTTCATTCAAAACTTATAAATTTTGCTGAGCATGCAATTTCAAAAAACAAAAATCATCTGAGTTTTTGAAAAATTACTTTCATTAGACAAGAGATAAGAAAAACTGAACTTCTCAAGTGTCAAAACAGCTGAAAACTAGTACTTCAAAAAAGGCAATTCAACAAGTTTTTCTGATGAATAGGAGTTAGTGTATCATAATTTGAAATGATCTCTCATTACTTATGTTGTTTCAGGAACGTAACATAATATGTTATGTTTTTATAGGCATTTCCTTATGTTATTGTAATAGACAATCTTGTGTGTGCATAGTTTTTTTAAACTTTTTTTAAAGAATTGGCTGTGATGCCCGTCGTCCACCTGAGTGGCAAATTATTTTTCCCCCCTCAATGTCTTTAATTTTGCATAATTTTTGTTTCAAATTAAATTTTTTAGTTTTCATTATCTAAAACTATGAAATAATAAAGTAAGAAGTATTCCACTGTATTTTCAGACTGCAGTCAATCCTTAAATCTGGGGGTAATTGACTAATTGTTGCTGAATGCTTGTATCATCTTTTTATTTTATGGAATAATGGTAACCTTAACACTTCTTAAAGATTTCAAACGTTCGATAGATCAATTTTAGAGACAGTACTCTAATTATTCCTCTTTTAGACTTATAATCTTGTTTCAGTCATCTTATAAAAAAGAAATTCAGAATTTTTGCTGTCTAAATTTATTTTCTTTATACGATTGATTGCCAGGGTGCCAAGGGTATGAAAGAGAGCAGGTCTAAATAGCTATTTGGGAGGGATATATTTTTTAAAAATATTTAATTCAGTTTTGTAGTTTAAAAACTGTAAATTAGATTTTGAAATATTTTTTTTTAACTATTAAGTATAATTTTTTAATATGTGGGGGTAGGGGCATGATTCTTAAAATTTTTTTGGGTGAGGGATTTTTTTCCAGCCCAATTTATATCATTAATGCTCTTTACAACTTAAAAAAAAACCAAATAAGATAAGTGTATTTACAATTGAATTAAATATTTTTTAAAAATATTTAATTCAGTTTTGTAGTTTAAAAACTGTAAATTAGATTTTGAAATAATTTTTCTAAATTATTAAGTATAATTTTTTAATATGTGGGGGTAGGGGCATGATTCTTAAAATTTTTTTGGGTGAGGGATTTTTTTCCAGCCCAATTTTCCATCAATGCTCTTTACAACTTAAAAAAATAAAATAAAAAATAAGATAAGTGTATTTACAACTTGTGGATTAGTTAAAAAAAAAATAGGTATTGTTTTTGGTGACTGGTTAGATTTAAAAAAATAATTTTTTTGGAGAGGGGGTGATTTTTCAGATTTCTGTTTTTAGTGAAGAGTGTTCTTTTCGACTATATTCATTATATCTTCTACTCAAAATTTGCATAATAAGACAAGCACGTTTGGAAAAAAAAATTGCATTAAATTTGGGCTCAACAACCTGAATGGAATTGGTTAATATAATTTTTAACACATCTCCACTTTCTCTGCATAAGTCTATATTTACTAAGTGTTTTTTTTTTTAAATTCCTTTTTACGATGTGGATTTTGTCTTCTTAAAATAATGTTTAATGAAATATTTCTAACAGGAAATCTCATTGAAATAGATCAGGTATAGTTAAAAATTTCCATGTATTTTTGTTGTTTGTGGAAATTGAGAGGAGGAAAATGTTTCAAATTTAGGTGGATGTTCCCGTCATTCTTAAGGGGGAGATTGATTGTTAATTCGAAATTGTTAAATGTAAACTGATTAACATTTTTGAGCAGTAATTTTTTTTGTCCATCAAATTGCATTGAAAGCATTGTTTTACATTTTTTATACATTTCATTTATTGCAAATTTGAAAGTACTTTTAAAGTGAATGTTTTATTTCTTTTTCTTTTGATGATCTTGATTTATAGATTATGATGTATAAGCAGTGCATTTTCTTATCATTGGTGTAACTTTGTATATATTTATTCTTTAGTATGTAGATTATATACTTTTCAATTGTTGCATAAAAGTAACTACCATAATGATCTGTTTTTGTTTTATTTTATTTTGATCTATCTTTATATTGAGGAATCTATTTCCATAAAGTCCAGAAAAGTCATATTCCAAGATTTTTCATCGTACATAAGTATTTGTGAAATCGCACCCTTTTTTTAAAGTCATTTCTGATCAACTTAATTATTTATTTGAAAACGTTGATTGTTGCTCATATTTTTTTGATGTTGTAGAGAATTAAAGAAATATTCTGCACAAAACATAATTTTCAAATCACCGATTGATTCCTTTTTTAAAAATTGTCTTGTGCTTCTGTATTGTACAAAAAAAGGACTTGACTTTTTTTTGTAAAATGTATTCCTGTTTTTTATTTTGAGCCACTATAAAGCCTGTTAGCACTATTGATTAGCAAGTTGAAGGTCACTCTCTCTAACCATTATGATTGACATGTAAACCGTAAAGATCTGATGATTAAAACGAAAGTTATTCAGAGTGTATTTTTTACTTTACATCTTGTGTCTCCCAAATATTATACAATAATTAGTCCCATTTTAAGCCACTACTAAATGAAAGTTAAGTGTTTCTTTTAGTTGTTGAGGTGGTTTTCAATATGAATATTATTACTAAATTTGATTTATTTAATCTGATCAAAATTTGTAACTAAATTGAGATTATAAATATTTTATTACATTGCGCAATATAATCTTAATAGTGACTAATAAGCGGCACCCGGTGGCTGAGTGGTAGTGTTCCTCACTCCCGTGTTACAGGTCCTGGGTTCGATCCTCGGACCGGGCCAGGTCGACCCAGCCTTTCATCCCTTTAGTGGGTCGATAAATGAGTACCAAGCATGTTTGGGGAACTAAACACTGGGTTTTCCGCACTCTACTGACCACCTAACCAGAACATCTGCTTCTGCACCGCAGAGCCCAAGGTCAAGAAAACTGAGATGGGTACAGTAGGCCTTGACCCTCTATGAGCTGTCGTGCCACTGAGCTTATTTTTTTTATAGTTTAGTGGCTAATAAGCTATTATTTACAATGAGTCCTTCAATAAGTTTACTTACTTCGCTTATCCTTCTGTTTCATTTGCTATCCTTGCTTTTGTTTTTATGTGCAACATACGTATTTTATAGCACCAAATATTTTTTTTTAAACTTGTGTATTTATGTAATATTATAGTTTTCTTTTCAAAATTTTTAATTAAAAGGCATTCTTTTGTGCAGTATGATCCTATTTTTTTTTTGGGCAATTAAACCCACTCAAACCATTCTTTGCTTATGCAAAGGTATAATGTGGTACCTAATAGAATTATTTAAGAATATTTTGAAATCGATAGAACAGTTGTACATATACACCACTGTATTCATTCAACTAATAGTATGCGTATAGATTATTTTAAGTAACTTTACCATACTTTAAGTAAGCTTTTACCATACGGTAGTTAGCTTTTTATTTTTGTTAGAAAAAATGTCTTTATTATAACTTTCCAAGATTCCCATGATCCACTGAGGATATTTTACATCAGTTCAAGCCAGGTGCGGAATTCGTGTCGACCCACCATCGCTTTGATTCGAACGCGTTTCACCTCGGCAGAAGGCGAGCACTCTGTCACCTGAGCCAGCGCGGTCTCGATCGGATCTCGATTTGCATATTGTACAAACTCGGGAAATTCTGGTATCTTATAAAACATTTCAGTTCCCCCCGTTACACGCTTTCTCGTAAATTTGCCTCTGGAATTACCTAACTTCTTAGAGCGTTATTTTTTTCATAATTTTAGGAGTTTGTCTGAAAGAAGTGATATTCCAGAAGAGGAAAGTGGACATCATGGCTTAGAACTGGATGACAGACGATCTTCCTTGTCAATCAATAAATCACCCGAAAGGCGAGCGGCCTCCATCAGTCGATCTGAACGTTCGATATCTATCAGCAAATCTGACGATCATTCCATGTCTAAAGAGAAGTCTGCATCACTGACCGTTGCTGGGGCAAAGTTGATACAAGTAGAGGCAGCGGAAACTGGAGAGGTAATTTATACTTGATCTCTTGTGAGAAACCAATGTATAGTTTGTCTACGGTAAGAACCCCCCCTACTGCGAAGTCTGAAGCCGCCTGTTGCTATGAAAACAAGAATAGCGCATTTCAGGGAAGGTAGCTTCTGTTTACTCAAGGGCTAACTCAATATGCAGAGGAAAAAGATTCCCTATCTGTCGCTGACCTGGGCCTAAATCTGTCTGAAACAATGACCCCACACCCCTACTTGAAATAGTTGTACCTCTTTACCATAGTCACCGCCACTGGTCCAGACGGATGGCTAGGGGAGTTCTTACTTTAGACAAACTATAAACTTATGTTACAATAATATGCATCATTTTAATTGTGAAAATTTATCGAGTGATAGTAAACTGAAATAATACAATGGTGATTGAAATTTTTTTTATAAAACTTTTATGGTATAAAATGATAGCACATTGGAGAGAATATAAAAGACTGTGAGATGTAACTTCATTATGTTGATAGGAAGCTCTTTTCTTACCTATAATTTGTGAGAAATCACTGACTAATAACTGCAAAAAATATACATAAAAAAATTAATGAAGAAATAAAATAAACAAATAAATGCAATGGGTAACAGTAAAAGGTCAGGTCAAGAAAAGAGGCCATCTAAAAGAAGCTATTTTTTATTGCGCGTTATGTGTCTGTTTATTTGTCTGTGTTATGTGTCTGTCTGTCATTCTGGCCCTTAGTCATATGTCTTCTGAATTCAATTTGACTTAATTAAAATGTTTTTAAAATGCAGTTCTGGTAAATAAAGCTTAATTTATGCATCTTCACAAAACTTTGTTAAAGTTTCTCCAAAATATTTCAAAAGTTAAAAACTTTTTTTTTCTGTATTTATGGGAGCTTGTGAACTAGTGATGGAGTAAGTACCAACTTTTTCAATATCAAGTACGAATTGATACAACAAATTATCAATTACTGATACTTTTTATTTGATTATTTGCTACAAATTGTATCAAATATGTGTCTGCAAAAATTCCTAAATTATTTTTGAGCGTTTGACAAAGTTATCCGATATAATCTACGATTGCTTCTTGTTGCATATTAATAAAGTTTTATTTTTATATATGCACTTAACGCGGCTCAAAGAAAGAGAGACAACACAAGAAAAAATATGAAAGGAAATACTGTAAATCTTTTTTGTAGGAGTACTTTACAAATGAAGTTGTTTAAATAAAAGCAGTTAATATTTACTTTTACACCGGAAACATTTGATGTCACAAAAGTAAGGCCTTTAAGTTTCATTATTCCAAAGTTAAGTTATTAATAATTTTTTTACATGATTATAAATACAGTGAAACCTGTTATGGACACTACTGCAAAACGGATGCCTCTCAATATGAACATATTTTTAAATCCCAAGAATCTTCTATGAATAAACCATTTTGTACATTCTCCGCAAAGCTGACGCTCCCGTAACCGGACGCAGACAGTCATATATGTCCCGAAACGTTATTTTCTATGTCTTCAAACTGGACACTACTTTTTCTAAATTAAAAAAAAAAATTTTTTTTCTGTTTTAATTTGCAAGAAAATTTTTTTACACCATTTTTAAAACATGCTAATTTTTTGCCTTATCCGTAACCAAAAATATGTTTGATTCTTTAGTAGTAAAATAACTTAATCTCTCTACTGTCATCTTGAAAGAAAGGAGAAAAAATTATACTGCTCTTGTGAAATAATTCGGACAGCTGCATCCTTTGATCTGGAGGACACAAGTTATGAGACCCCCAGTTTGAAATGATTTCTTGAAATGACTAACAAAAGAATTACATAAAACTTTATCAATTCATATGAAAGTAAATATTGTAAAAATAAGCAAGCAAAATGAACTAAAAAATGTGAAACGAGTAATTTGAATGTAGCACAGAACCACAATCAAGTAATGCGAGAAACTAGTGTGATTGTTACTGCCATCAAAGTTTCTAGATTGATCTGAGAGAACTAAGTCTGAGTTGCACAAAAATGGATTAATCCATTGTATCAATATCAATTTCACAAATCCACCTTACTGAATCCATTGAACGAAGTGCAAATTCAACTGTTAAGAGATGGAGGGGAAATTCTAAATATGCTTTTAATTCTTTTCATTTTTTCCTTTCAATTTTTAACAGGGTTGCCAAAGGCAACTAAAATGCAACTATTTTCTGCTTGAGGCGATTGATTATGGCAAAACTTTTTTTCTCTGAAAAGGCTAAAACAGCAACTATTTTCACGAAGAGGAGACTATTGGGGGATTTCTGTACTCATAGAGCTGTTTTATTTAGCACAAATTGTGTTAAAACCGTGCAGCCTGCGAGGGCTTCTGAACACAATGTTTTTTTTTTCTTAAAAAATAAAATTTTCAAAATTTCAATAATTTGAGTTACAACTTTTTAATGCCCTCAGTTCGCACAAATTCCTTTGTAAGTCTATCTTGTTCCTCGATTGTCTTTTCAATGGTTATTGCTACGAAATTCTGCATGATTTAAAAAAACCCAATTTTTTAATACCAAATTACGATACATGAATTTCGAAATTGAGTAATCACTTGACAATGTGTGTATATACTATATGTATAATATATTTGCTAAATCAATTGTTAAAAATGAAATTATTTAGAAAAAGTATGTTTTTCTTAAGGAAAGTTTTTTTTTTAATGAATTTGAATTCCAGTAATTTAAATTATTTAATTTTCTGCAAATATGTTTAATTTTTTTTATATAAAACTTTAGTGCTAGAACACTAACGTTTATATGAAAATTATCATATTTGCCACCAACGTGGCTAAAGGGATCATGGTTATATGACAATCAAGTCATTTAATAAAATTTTAGTCATATTTTTGGTGAATTTTTGTTCTTTCGGCAACTATTTTCACAGTTTTCAGCAACAATTTTCAAGTCTTAGGCTACAAAAAGCAATTATTTTGTTCACTTTTTTGTGCGGCAACCCTGTTGACTGATGATGGATATTTTCTTTAGTTTGGATTATCTTTCGATTCATGCGAAATATAAGGAATCATTCAATCAGAATTTGATATATAAAGTATGCAGTATTGTAGATTATCCATAAATTTTTTTCTCTCAAAATTCTGCCAATGCAATTCTGCAATCAATAATTTTTTAAAGATATTCAAACAGTTATTAATGTTTAGATTTTTGGTAAGTTTCTTTATATTTATATAGTGAACCTTAAAGGAAATTTTTAGCGTCATCCAAATCGGTTTTCCTTAATTTAAATTTCAAGAAGATTAGGTTTTAAAAAATTATTACTTTACCACTTTAAAGAAGCTAAAGCTAGAAGGTGACCAAAAGTACTACACTAAATTGGTGGCTACTTTAAAACGCTATAGCAGAATTTTTGTGGGCTTTCTGCAGGATTACCTCTTCTGTAGTAATATCTTTCTGTTAGATACTTTTCGTAATGAGGAATACATGTTATTATAATTTAAAGTAACAAAGGCGTCAACTTCAAATAAAAGAGGAAATTTCCAGAAAAAATAAAATAATTTTTTTAATTGAATATGTAATATTTTTTTATTGTAATAGCGATATTCTGGCATTTTGTAGGGGGAAACACATAAATTATTTCCCTTTTTTTCCCCACTTTGTACATCTTCATCACATTAATTGTGAAATCCCTAGTTGTAATTATCGAAAAAAAGAAATCACTCTAATCGGACTCTTCAAAAAGGGGTTACGAAATGCTTGTTTTCATTTTGAGATTCAAATATTGTAATAAATAATATCGTATTAAAAATATGGGATTTAGGAAACTATGTGGCAATCAATAGTAATTACTGCACAAAGAAATACAACCAAATATTGTTCTTCATTACTCTTTATTTTTCATTATTCTCTTGAGCATAGAAAAATCATATGCATTTTTTCCTACACCCCCCGAGTGTGAGAGAGAGAGGCATCTTTTGAATATAATTTTGAAGAAAATCTTATGAAAATTTCTGCAGAAAAGAAAACCAAAATATTTTACTTCCCAAAGTAAAAATCTCTCTGCAAGACAATGCTGCCATTTTGTCACGGGACTTTAAAATGGTACCTTTTGGCTTCCCCTTTAGATAAAAAATGCTAATCATTTCTTAAAGCTGGTGATTTTTTATTATTTGCTGGTTTATTTTAATAAAACCATAAATTATTTAATTATTTTACCTTTTCTTCTCACTTTGGAGAAATTATTATTTTTTCAACTTCTTGGCTAGCAATATTTAAATAGGAAGAGTTCAAAATATCCTTGAATTTTGACGTATCCGAAAACCGATATTTGTTTAATTTTTTTCGTTGCATCAGTTACCTTTGTTTATCTTTATTTGATGTCTAATTATCATTTAATTTTTATTAATTTTTTTAATTGTTTCTTAGGTTAAATTGTCAGTCTACATAGAATATATAAAGTCTATTGGCTACATATGGATTGTTCTTATTCTGGTTGGTTTCATTCTATGGCAAGTGTTCTCTGTGGGTGCCAACATCTGGTTGAGTGAATGGGGAAAAGATCCAGAACGGAATGGAACTGAAGGCCTCCATCAACGTGATTTTAGATTGACCATTTATGGAATGTTTGGTCTTGGACAGAGTATGTATCTTTTCTTCTTCTTCTAAAATCTATAACTGTAAAAAGTAGAAAGAAAAGAACTTCATTAATTGTTGATGCAGTGTTTTCACTACAGCGCGAGAACGCGAGAATCTCGCATATTTTTTTCTTTTCTCGCATTAAAAAATGATTACCGCGAGAAATTCGCGCATTCTATAAATCAATTTCAAAATTCGCGAATTTCTCGCATTTTGGAAAAAGCTTCGAATTACGCCAATTAGAATAAAATCCATTTCACTTTTCTTCCTGGATCTTTCATTATTTTCAACATTTGCCCCGTTATCTAGATTCCCTATTTACCAGTATTGTTCAGAACTTTTTCGAACAACAGAACACAACCCCTCCGAACCACGGAACCCCTTTCAGAACACATTTCTCTGCAACCACGTGTTTACCGCAGGTAAGGTTTTTTCATGTAAGACGTTCAAATTTTTTATGCACTAATGTAAGATGGACAAATACCTAGTAAAGGCAAAATCTTCTATGATGATGCAGCAAGAATATTCAATGCTTTAAAAAATAGAAGACGTTAAAAATGTATTATAATGAAAGAAATTTTTTAAGTCTATTTGTATTTTTTCAGTTTTTAGAAATCTCACTTAACTTTCTGAAATCTCACCCTGTTTTTGAGAAAGGGTGAGAAATTCTCACCCATTTTTTTTTCTATGATGAAAACACTGTGATGGGAAGTTATTTTCTCACCCATGAATTCCATCTGCTGATAACTTACAATAAATACAATAATAATATTGGGAGTACAAATTAGCTCGGTCCGTTTTCAAAAGATAACTCTGGCTGTTATGAATGTTTCATAGTGACAGGTGGTTTCAGAGAGGTTAGACATCTGTCAATAATATTCAGTTTTTATCGCTTTAAGTTTCATACAAAAACCCTGTTTTTTACTTTGTTGAATATGTGGCATAATTACCACTACGAAAATTAAACATCAATTCACTAGTATATAAGACGTGCTAACTTGAATCAATCTTGAGGTACCCTTTGATAGATGAAAGTTGGCATAGTCGTTAACTCCGCCCCCCCCCCACATTGGTGACCTTCGGACGTGATTTGAACACGCAGTAACGCCCGCTTCGATCTTGTAACGCCTAATTCGATGGATAGTCCACATTGAGCAGTTGCCTTGCTACTAGTGACTGCAACATTATCCACCTCCTCACGCTGTTGCTGCTCAGTCTCGTCTCGATCATACACAATGTCAGCCTGCATGCATTCGACTGCTAAAGGCAACACAGGAGCGACTACAATCGTGAAGTTAATAAACCTTTCATATTCAGCACTGAAAAACCCGGTGACTTTAAATCAAGCTTTCCCGGTCTTTCACAAGTACAGCAACTAGTAGTATCCGTTCATCGAATTCTATCCCTGATAAAATTCTGGTAGGGGAGTATTGTGGCGTAATTACCACTACGAAAATTAAATGTCAAGTCACTAGTATATAAGACGTGCTAACTTGAATCAATCTTGAAGTACCCTTTGATAGATGAAAGTTGGCATAGTTGTCAACTCTGTCCCCTACAAATATGTCAAATTTTGTGGTAACTAAGCAGCGGTAGGTTTTATAAATATTGGTGGCATCAGGGGAGGGAATTTATCATTAGTGGGGAGAGTTGTTATCGACAATGTCTACCTTCGTCTATGAAAAATTACCCCACTCTAGAATAGAGTTAAGATGTCTTATGTACTATTGAAATGGAATTATATTTTTGTAGTGGTAGATACACTACAGTACTCCCCCACCAGAATTTTAACTGTGATAGAATTTTATTTTCTAATACGTAGCAATTTTGTTAAATATTTCCAGTTTTTATTTAATCAGTGGAATATTTGCCTCCTTTTTTAATTAGCTTCAATTAGATTAAATTAATTTTTAATATGATATTGCTCCACAGAAATCTGAAACCATGTATTTCAGTAATCTTTTTTAACACACTCTATACCATTATATATCCGTGTTTCCATCTTATTATTAGATTGAAAAAAATTCTTTCTCCCTTTAATTTTCTCTCTGAAAAATTCTTAAATTTTGTAAATGTTACTTTAGTGGATAAAAAGGTCATATTGTGCATATAAGTCTTTTAAATATCTTCTATGTACTCAGAAGAAAGTTAAATTAAAAACAAAATTACACATTGAGAAAAAAATTTAAGATAATTTCTTTTTCTACCAATCACATGTCTGTTAATGGCAAGGGAGCAAACTTATTACTATGACTATCTTAAAATTTTTTTATTGAAATGTTTTAAGCTAAGTCCTGAAAAATTAAGACTCAAATTTATTCCAGAACCAAAAAAAAAAAGTTTGATAATAGTTTCGTTTTTGAATTAAGCAACTATTCAAATGAATGGGTTCTGGGATAAAGGATTTTGAAACAGCAATTTTTTGGCTAGAATTAATGAATGACTGAGGTAAATACAAATTGGTAATCTTAAAAGTAATTCCAAAACATTTAGAAGATTGGAAAAAATGGTATTTTCTCTTACTTTTTTCAAACTTCTGTTTTAATGAGTTGCAATTTTATGGCAGAAGAAACATTTAATCAATGTGATATATTTGCTCCCATTTTTACTTGGCTACAATTAGATCAAATTGATTTTTAATATGATATGAGTATCGTAAATCGATGTTATGTTTGAATTGTATTTTTGGCAGTAATTGATATTGATTTTCAAGTGGATTTTAAATATTCCGATATATTTCAAACAATATGGAAAATTCGAATCATGCATTTGAGTATATTTAATTTTTAAGGCAATGATTTTATCAAATTTTTGACAGTTATTGCCATTGATTTCTCCATAGTTTTTCAATTTAATATTTTTTATACGATATTATTTATTACAACAACCTAATCTCGAAATGAAGCGCGCATTTGAGGAGTCAGATTCATTATATTCATGATTTCTAGTTATTTTTTTATTGTGATGGTTATTTACAAAATGTGAAGGAGGAATTAATTTGTACATTCCCCCTCCCATCATAAAATGCGAGAATATCACCCATAATATTAGAATAAAAAACTATGACACGTTCAATTAAAAAATATATATATACTTTTTGTTGTAAACACAGTGCTTTTGTTATTTTAAATACTAAGTAACATATATATTTGTTATTATTGAAAATGTCTTGCAGAAAGATATTAGTTTTCTTTTGTCGCAGATAGTGCAAACAAAATTCTGCCAATGGGTTAGTTAATTAATCTGTATTTTTTTTATTGCAGCCGTTTTTGTGTTTGTTGGGACGATTGCCTGTGCTTATGGGACACTTCTTGCTGCAACATCTCTTCATAACAATATTTTAATTAATGTTCTGAAATCACCCATGTCTTTTTTTGATACAACTCCACTGGGAAGGATTGTGAACCGATTTGGTAAAGATGTGGATACAGTTGACGTAACCATTCCCCAAACAATAAGGTCGTGGCTGGTCTGTTTCCTTCAAGTCTTATCAACAATAGTGGTTATCAGCATGCAGACGCCTTGGTTTTTACTCGTAACGCTTCCCATTCTCATAATTTATTATCTTATTCAGGTGAGCTATTTTAATAGTACGTTTCTTTGACATGAAAAGTAAATATTTTTACGTAACAGTATACAGACGTTCATATGTTTATATATCCTCGGGAATATGTACATATAACAAATATGAGGAACTTGGCCGTTGCAGAATTTGTCGGTGCGTTTTTTATTATTACGTTTTTACTCGACCAAGAGCAAAAAGAAAGAAAAAAATCTGCTGTGATTGGAAGTTTGCCACGTTTTGTTTGAGAGTTTTATTATTGTTTAGTGGGGCTGCGCACAGATTTTGTGCGATTGTATATACAATGTTTGCTTAATTTACATAGAAAAAAAGAATGGCTTATCACTTTACTGGTGTTTGAAAAGTATCACTTTGTTTTGTTCAAGAACTATCCTACAAAGACTCATATTTAAAATTTTTCCCCTTGATAACTCGTAATAGTAAACTGATGGTAAATTAAAGGCTTTTTAATGCGTAAAAAAATTAAAATCTCAATTTAAAACTTGTGTATTAGGTTTCGTTTTAGCTCCTTGTATTTATTAATGAAATAGAAAATATGTCAATTTTTTGAATTTTTTTTTCTTCAAAAAAATTGGTAAGGGAAGCTTTTATGGCGATTGTTCTTGTTTTTGGCTTACAGTGACTTTTCAGGAATTATTTTAGATGATAAGTCCGTCAAACTTGAGGCAAATTTAAAGCTTTATTAAAATAAAAGACATTATGAAGATCTCAGCACAGCATTTGCTTTAATATATATATAAAAAAATATATTAACCAATCTTGTTGCTCTTCCAAAATCATCCTGATATTTCTCCCACCTCACGTTTTTGTTAAACTTATCCTTTGCTCTTTTTACATACAAGCATGCCTCCTGGATCTGTTAACTTTCCTTTCACGGCTGGTGTTGTTAACTCTTTGCTTAAAATTAAGTAATAGTTTACAAAGTCTTCGAATTCCGTACATCTCGCTATCCAGCGGAAGCATATTTTATATAATTCCTTTTCTGGTGAGTTTGTTTGTGTCATTTAAAAATCATGAATCATTGTGCATTGTGTGGTACGGAATGAGTGCTAACTAATGATGACTGAAATTATAACCTTATAGCCAAATTCTAATTAGTACTTTTTAATTGTTAAACCCTCACTGAATTAAAACCATTTACAACTTATCCTAAGATAATATATCATTTCAGTTTTTTTCAACCCATATACAATTAAATAACTAAGCATATGAAAATATCATAGAACTTTATATAAATCTAAATTCTTCCTAACGTACTATGTATAGTATATGTATTTTCAATATCATTGCCTAGCAACTTTATTTCAGAATATTTTTACAAAACTCTAATTTTTACTTCTAATTTTCCTGTAATTAGAAACTTCATGGATAATAATTTTGCTGTTAACTTTTAAGATAATTTATTTTTAAGTTCCATCTACGTGATTTACGGCATTGAAATGGTTGCTTCCAGCTTTCTGTACTAAACTTTTTAATCTTATATTTAAAACATCTGTTTTTAATTACTAGATCCCTATTAATCCTCCATATTTTATTTTACTGCTGTCATTGAACAGCCGACTGAATTTTGGGTTTATGACTACTAATGTTTTCTGTAGGCTTGTAATTTTGAAACCAATCCGGAAGACTAGGGAATTCTTGGAACAAGTATTGAGGAGGACTTTTTGATGGAACTATCACCTATTTATGTTACAGAGAGGGGAAAACCACAAAAACCTGCCATGGCTAGTCTGACGGCAAGGGAACTCTAACCCATTATCTGTTCACCACTGAGGATATTTTATGTCTGGAGTGTGGTCTTTGCGAGCCATGTTCGGAATTCGTATCAACGAATTTGTATGATTCTGAGCCATTTGCATATTTGTTGTCTTTCTTACTGTCCTTAATATCTATCATTTTATAACCTGCTTGATTTAATTCGGTTTTTGTTTGCTTTTTCATCTACAAATAGTGCTTGATGCTGGCCCTTCATTTCTTCAGCCTTCTTCGTTATTTTATATTGTTCAACTTTATCCACCATTTGATTTTTCATTTTTTTCCACCCTACCTCAGCAAGTACCTCTATATTACTTCTTCTTTTTTCAGCTAGTACTTCAGATTCTTCAAATTTTATACATTTGGCTAGTGCAACTTAATTTTCAACTTCTTTATTAGCTTCAGTACTGAGTTTGGCAACATTTTTACTTATTCATTCTAGTGGACTATCGTCTCGAATTATTCGGTGGATTCTTTCTTTGCGTAACATCCATTTCATTAGATTCTCTTTCAGCCATCAATTTTCCGATTACTAGGTTTATTCTTGTTTCCAAATGTTCCATGCTTGGTTTTTGTTTTGTTATTTTGTATGCTTTAGTACCTGTTTTTTTTTGGTTCCAAACCCTGATGTCTGACCACCAATTTATCAGGACTTACTGTCGCGGCTTACAGTAACTGTTCAGAAAGACTCATTATTTTCGATGATAAATCCATCAGACTTGAATTTAAAACGTTGTTGAAACAAAAAAGAAGTTGGACATGATAAAAATCTCAACTCAGAATATAAAAAGAAATAATAATCAATCTCGTTGTTTGCCAACTTTCTCCAGATGTCTCATCTCGCTCTCTTCTAAAACTTATCCTTGCTCTTATCATTCCTTGAGTTTAATTTCTTTTTCATTCTTTGCTGCTGTTGTCCACTCTTTGCTATAATAGCCTACTAAATTTTAAAATTGCTTACAAAATTCATCCAGACTTTTTTTTCTTGCTTAAATGTTAATATGAGATTACTAATGTCTTTTTTGTAAAGAAATATTGATTGAGGGTAGAGAAGCATCTCGTAGTTATCTTCAGTGCATAACCAGAATTTTTCTTCTGAAAGTATCGGAGGCATTTATGCATTTTTTAGTTTATAACTTTGTGGTTTGTTTCTTTGATATCTATATTTGCTTATTTAATCAGAGTATAAATAAATGTATAAATTATTATTGATAATACAACCAGAATAACATTATTACTAAATTAACCTGTTTCAAAGGGTTTCCACTCCTATAAGGAGAACAAGGAAAACCTGTAAAATACAGGGAATTTGAAAATCACCTAAAATAACAAGAAAAATGCAGGGAATTTCGATTTTTTTTCTTTTCAAACTGGGAAAATACAGGGAATTTTGTTTTGTATTTTTGTCTTTTAAGAAAATTGTGATCGCTCAAAGCGTAATCTATGGGATATTTAACCATTATACTTCAGCTATACTAAACTATTTAATTTATTATAGCATTTTTTTAAGTATGTTCAGCTGTTTTTCCAGCAATTAAAACTAATAAATATAGTTAGCCCAATAGCACTCACACAAGAGCACACTAATTGTTGTGTTCCTCTCAATATATTGTGTATAATATGTACAGGGAAAACACAGGGAATTTTTTTCCAGATTTGAGTGGCAACCCTGTATAAATATTAACCTTATTTTATAAAATTTAATTGATTTTAAATCTTTGGCAGGGAGAAAATATTTCTTAAGTATTCGCTATAATTAAAAAACATGTTTTACTGTATAACATCAAGAAGTTTAAAGTTTTTTTTTTTTAGCGCTTTTACTTGTCAACCAGCCGTCAGTTGAAAAGGTTGGAATCCATCACTAAATCTCCCATCTATTCTCACTTCTCTGAGACACTCTCTGGAACGAGTACCATTAGGGCTTATAAAATGGAAGACAAATTTTGTGAGCACTCCAATACTCTGGTGGACAATAACTTGGTCTGTTACTATCCCAGTGTTGTAGCTAACAGGTAATTGTTCTTCATCTATCCAAATGAATAAAGCAGAAATGAGCATACTTTATGTAGTGTATCTACCACTACATAAATAAAATTCCAATTTCTAGTATTTAAGGCATGTTAACTTGATTCTATGTTGGGGCACTTTTTCGTAGATGAAGGTTGAAATGGACTCCCCACACTTTAATTCTGATTCTATTAACAAGTGCCTTGCTCAGTGTTTGAATATACAATGATCAATTTGTCATTTTGTGTTAAAGTAATTTTTTCCTTTTTGCAACCAATACATGTGTGCTTTATTCACACTTTCTTTTTGGATTTATTAATCTTTGCCAAAACAGCTCATTTTAAAATTTTTATTCTTCTCTCATTTTTTAAATACAATTAGTTCGATTTCCCCCCCATACAGTAACACTGAATCTAATAATACTAAATCTATTCTTTTTAATAATTAACTTGGGCAGATAATAATATCAGTTAATGATAATAAAACATTTTCTTACTAATTTAATTGTTTTTGTCTTTTATTTTATTTATTTTGTCTTTTACTTTGAGCTCTACCGACTCTATAAACAGCACTAATTTTAACAAATCTGCAGTAAGAGGCTGAGATGGCTGGGCCATCTATGGAGAAGCTCTGAAAATAGCGCCACAAGAATCGTCACCTCTAAGAACCCCAAGGGGTCGTGCCCCAGAGGCAGACCCCCTACTAGAGGGCTCAAGGATATCGAAAATGATTTTAAAATCCTAAAGATTAGAAATTGAAAGGGAGCTGCCATGGATAGGAGGCGCTGGCGTTTGTCAGCTGTTGAAGCTGCAAGGAGCTGTTGCGCTGATAAAGAAGAAGTCTTTTATTTTGAAATGCGTTCAAAATAATCATTAGTTAAATTATTAACTAATGATTATTTAATTTATTTTATGAATGTATAAAAATATTTTCCAATTTATGATAATATTTCTTGAAGCTGAATTGTGTGTTGAAGAAATGTGTAATTTCTTTTCAGGTGGTTATCTATCAGGTTAGATTTCATTGGAAACATGATAATTTTCTTTGCTGCTTTGTTTTCTGTCCTTCAGAGAGATAATTTAGATGCTGCAAATGTGGGATTGTCAGTCACCTATGCTTTGATGGTAATGAATGTTGCATTGAACATTGTGTGTTTCTATGGATGGTAGACCGTGTAAAGCTAAGCGCGCATGGCGTCAAAATTCATCGTAAGACTTCCGGGTAACTTCTTTCGACTGACTTTTTGCTTCTAAGCTTGAAGAAACGTGCCATTCAATATTATTACACTTGTAGTGTTTTCAACATAACGCATTCTTTCAATTCAGCAAAACAAAATACAGTCAAACTGAACCGCTATGCTGAACCTTCAAATTAATGTGTTAACTTTTATTTTTTATGACTCTTTGTCTTGCGTACAAAAAAATTATTAATCTTTAGCTGATGAGCAATCCTCCACATCAGATATGGAAACATTTCCTGACTCTCCCATAATTTTTCCTGAATTTATGTTATTCCGCTTTTTAAACTTGTCTAACCAGCTATTCGAGCGCATAAAAGTAGTCTCACCAAATCGCTCAGCAAATTCGTCAGCTTTGACTTAAAACATTTGTAAAGATACTGAAAGATTGTGGCTTCATTGAATGCTGTCGAAGACAGAAAAAATCTGTCGAAGACAGAAAAAAGTTCATTCTATCCAACTTCCACTCGTTTTTGGTTCACTATGTCCACAATAACATACGTGTGTAGCAGGGCACGAGGGCGAACATTTTGTTCACTATATCCGGAAGTTCACTATAGACCGTGCTCACTGTAGCGAGGCTTGACTGTACAAATGAATTCGAAAGACCCCACAAGCTTGCTATGATGCTAGCCAAAATATAACAAACAGTGATATTTTACACAAATATATCCAAATAAAGGATAACACTCAAATATGGCAAACCTTCCACTTAATTTATGCTTAATAAAGGCAGCCTGTGCTCAATGCCGACCACATTGCTCCAATCATGGCATTTGTCACAAAATTATAGTCTTATCCCTTCCGATCAGAATCAGGCTGTAGCAGGAATGTTTTATATTGCTCTAGTTGCAGCATAAGTATGTATTTTTTCCTAAATGTAAAAGTTAAAGTTTAAAGTATTGACTGCCGTCAGATGGGATGACTGTGCAAACTGTCATTTTTTCAATTACTAACATTATAATAATTAAGAACAAAAAATTATACATGATTTGTTATCTCAATTGATAAGACTTTTAAAGTGTAACCTACCTTCCTGGCCAGGATAACTGGAACTTCTTCAACTGAGCAGACTTTCCAGCCTTCGATTTTGCGACGTTAAAACATTTGAAACTGTTTGTAACTTGAGCTCACAATTTTCCAAGAATGATGATGTTTACATTGCCAGCTCTCGGTAAACCATTAGTTCGTCATGTCGACAACTCAAATCAGTTGATACCAAGCTTTAAAAAAATACCCCTAAATAGCACAGCGCAAAAATTGAAAAAATGACAGTTTGCACAAAGTCACCCCTCGTTGCACGAAGTGACCCCATCTGACAGTATCATTAAATCATGAAATTTTTTGTTTTAACCTTTGCTTACATTGTTCATTTAGAATATATGTTTTCTAAACAGTTTTTTAATGCTTCTCTATATTCTTTTTGGTGTTCTTCGTCAAAGTGATGTCGCCTGTATATGACACCCGACTATTCTTTCTCTTTTCATTTATTATTCTGCAAGGAATTATTTTTCAATTCAAATCCCTGTTGGTTGAATTTTTGAACACATCTTTTTGTTTCTTTCCGATTACATTTGATAATTTAAAGAAATATACTACTGGGTAAAAATTAAGAGCGAATTTATCTTTTAACATTTTTTTATTATTCTAGTTTACATCTTGGATTTTGGCTATAAATTTTTATTCTAAACATATGTTTTGTGTATTTATTTATTTTTTGAGGTTGCATTTAATAATTTAACCTGATTCCTAAGAAATTAAAAGAAGAAATAAATGAAATGGCAATTGAAATAATTAAAAAAAAAATCTGAACAGACTAATGTAATTCTAATTTCATTTTGAATGTTTTAGTCTTCATGGTAGACTCTGGGTTGTTATTCTAAAGGATTTGGAATCAATCCCCTGTCAGAGCTCACCCAGCTACAGATCGATGAGTACCAGCTTTGCCTGGGAAGTAAAAGTAACTTGTGTATAACAAATCAGACACAAAATTGTGATGCTTTAATCTTCCCTCCTGCCCCCCAACCTGTTGCTTGAATGTTAAGCCTAATTTTTTAAAATTCAATTTTTAACACGAGTGAGATATTACGCAACCTATTCCATTGTTTAAGATTAAAATAATAAGTATTGTTGTTTTGCTCTTAGGTAACCCAAACACTGAGTTGGATTGTTCGCATGAGCTCTGAGTTGGAAACTAACATTGTTGCTGTTGAACGAATCATTGAGTATGCCCATACTCCAACTGAGGTATGATTTAAAATAAACATTTTTATATGAGTATTCCACATCAGTTCATATGTTTGTGATTTGCTTACTTTTGATGGAAGAGCGGAGCCATAACTAATGCTTTTGTACAACAGTTAAATCCATTTATTTTCGAAATTTGCTTAGACAGAGGTTTGCCATTTTAAAGTTACCATCATTTAGTGAGTTGACAGGGATATAAAAAAAAAGATGTTTTGTTTATTTGAAAATTACTTTGCTAGGATCATTGTTGGAGGGAAATTTTTGTTATTGCATTCGAATTATTTTAATGTTTTGCTAAGCTAATTGAACACAGTCTCATACAAATCCTTTGAGGCAAAAGTGTAATCATTTAAATTCTTCCTTTAATTATCTGATTAAAACGTTGAACGATTTTGTAAACTGTTGATAGAAACGTTATTACAAACTTAACTTGAAGCAAAGTAAGGACTTTTTAAAAGGGAATTTTACGAATGAAAACTTTTTACTATTATTTGCAGTCAGGTGGTTTTATTAACAATATTAAAAGATACTTTTGAAGTGATGGCGATGAAGCAATCTTCATAACAGTTAATAAAATTTTTTTTTTCTTCAGTTATGTTTGTGAACTAAATTAGCTTTCAATAATATTATTTTGCATTTTCTACCATGAAATTGCATTGGTAAAAAAAAAATATTAATCCAATCTTTAATGAATGAAATAGATAATTTTAAAACTTCGAATGTTAGATTGAATTTTACTTAATCTAGTATAATATTAGCTTTAATATTAGATTGTACTACAGTGTAACGTACCATATCCGGACGTCCCTTTTCCGGACACTTTTTAACAATCAAAATAAACAAACTTCTCTTCATCTTCCCCTTTCTTAAAAAAAAAAAAAAAGGTATTTTGACACGTTTTCTCTTCTAGCTTGCACTGAACCCCTGATTTATGCATTGAACCAATAAATCACAAAGGGGAAGAGAAGATCTACCAAGACCATTGAATGACCGTTAGTGATGCTCCTACTTTGGAATGCAGGAAAAGAGGGAGATTTGTTTTCAAAAGACCGCAACTGAGTCCTCTCCCCCCTCCTTTCTTATGCAGCTGGCTTGTGAAAGAGGCACTTCCTGAAACCAAGAAAAGGGTAAACAGGGCAAGCGTTTAACGTGGAGGGGGAGTCAAAATGGAAAATTTGAATAGGTCTAAAAGGATGCGCGTTCTTGAGAAACATTAGTTCTTCCCCATACCATGTAATATTTAGGAGGCGGGGAAAAAAAGGGGGTAACATTCTCTCTTTAGCAGATTCTTTCAGTCATACAAGAAAAAATAAAGAAAACCCCATGAGCGTACCCCACCTTTATGCTTGATTGATAGCCAATGATTGGAGAGAAAACAATAATTTGTCACTTCCCCGCCCTCAACTTGAATGATCTACTCTTTACACTTATATTCTTTCACAAATAAGGAGGAAATGAATTTTTCTCCTCCACCTACCCACCTTAATGAATGACGGGAATTTCCCTTTCTTGCTTGAATCATTCTAGTTAAAAATGGCGGATTATTATTTTCAAAACTGTCAATTTCTTTTCATTTTCTGTATTTTAAGCAATAATTTTTTTTTCTAATATTTCATTAATTTTCATATTTCATTGGATAATTTAATACTAAAACATTATTCCCTTTAAAAATAATGTTTATTTATTTTTTGCTTCTTAGATTTAGATCATTTTAAGCTTTGTTCCAGAATGACTTGAATTTCCCCTTCCTGTTTGAATCGTTCTAGTTAAAAATGGCGGATTACTATTTTCATAACTGTAAAATTTTTTTAGTTTTCTCAATTTTCAGCAATATTTTTTTTCTAATACATATTTTATATTTGATTGATTAGATATTCTAATACTAAGACATTATTCCCCTTAAAAATAAATTTTATTTATTTTTTGCTTAGATTCAGATAGTTTATTAGATCATTTTAAGCTTTGTTTACCTTGGGGGTCTATTATACGGACTTTTGAAAGTCCCACCGATTCCGGATACGCGACTTTACACTGTATTTGAGAATGTAGCGCTTTCTGTATTATGCAGTATTATATTGCCTATTTCTGATGTTAAATAATAGTATTTAGCTATATCCAGGGTCCTTGCTTGAGTCTTCAACGACTCAAGCAAGGATCCCAGATATAGCTAATTTTTTTATCTTTTTATTTTGGGATTTTTTAAAAATAATATTTGAAAGTTTGCATTCATTAAAGAAATGAGACTTTGAAGCTTTCTGATGTTTTTGATTTTAATATTTCTGGAAACTTATTACAGGGGATATTTCTGGAACTGATTTTCTGATTTTATATTTCTGGAAACTTATATATATTATTATTCTCTTTCAAAATTGAAAATGCCTTTCATGTTTGGTTTGTTGATAAGAGCATTACAATCAGGAGAACTTTCAGAAATAACTTTTTGTGTGTTACCCCGTAGGCTGAATGGATAGTGAAAGACCAAGTTCCACAAAAAGAGTGGCCATCGAGTGGAAACGTTGTTTTCAACAATTATTCTACGAGATACCGAGAAGGTCTTGATCTGGTCTTGAAGCAAATATGCTGTGACATAAAAGATGGTGAAAAAGTAAGGCAGTATTTTTAACATTATTGTGAGGCAGATATTGGTGATGCATTTCGTTTCAAGTCATTTTACTTTCATTGCTGAAATCTATGAGAAGAGTTCTGTATTTAATAATAGACAGAAATGAGTTATATAATTAAATGTAGGTGTTTTACTTGCAAATTAAATTTTTTACTGTTCAAAAATAAATGATAGAACTTATATTTGCAATAGGTTCTGTTTAGTTTGGAGTATAAAATCTATATTCTTTGAGTTAAATTTGCATTTAAATTATAAAGCGGATGAATAAATTTTTGAAGAATGCTGCTCAGTATTAAGAGGTTATCCATCTACGTTCTACAATGTCTGCCAAGAAATTTGCTCTGCAAATAATGCGACAAAAATATCTATAGGTGTTCTTCAACATTTGTAAATGGTTGTTAATAGTTGTTTTACGAAAACATTCATCAGCACTCTACAGCATCTGTAGGTGCTGTGGAATATGTTGTTTACAAACTCTATGTTCTACGTCATTATTGAATTGTCGATTTATATATTTTTTTTGTGGCGTTGTACAATATGCATAAAAGTTTGACGTTTTTACATAGATGTTCGATATCGTAAACGGCGATTTTTTTTTCCGAAATCGACCAATAGTGTGTGCTACTTGGGTATAGAGGAAATGCAAATTTCTAGCACAAATTGATCCAAAAGTTGTGAACAGATTTTGATATTTTTTATTTTATTTTGTGTAGCTGACTATATCATACTGTGTTACTGTTGCAATTAATTTGATACAACAATTGAAACATTTTACAATAAATTTTAAAATTTTTCTTCATAAGATAATTAAAAACTTTTTGAATAAAATTAAATCAGTTCATAATAATGTTTATAATTTACATAATGCAATAATACAATTTTAATAATTTATATAATTTTAAACCATACACAGAGCTGGATTACCCATTAGGCCAGACTAGGCCATGGCCTGGGGGCCACAATGATTAGAGGCCCCCTTAAAATGGATTTTTCGAAAGTAAATTTTAAAAAAAATTAAGAAAAACAATGATATTTAAAAAAAAATCTATTCCAAATATATATTAATAAAATACGATAGTTTTTTTTATATAATGTTAATCATATTTATTTATTACTTATTTTAGTTATTATTTATAAGCATTATTATAGTTTATGATTCATTGTAATTATTGACTCGCTCAAAACAGAGTTTAACGAACGAGGCAAAGTTTATTTGGAGGTTTCTCAGAAATTTTCTTTTTTGGCGGATTTTGGACTAGCGGAAATCGAAAATATCGAGAAGCAATTTCTAATTTAGTTGACTTTTATTTCGACGATTTGGAAGATTTTTATTCCGAATTGAAACAGTTTCAGAGTTACATAAAATCCAAATTCCCATCAAAAACTCAGTTCACTCATTCTGAACTTCACGAAACTTTATTTCAAGACAAACTTGGATCTGTTTTTCCAAATGTTGAATCTGCTCCTTGCATTTTTCTAACTCTTATGATAACAAATTGTTCTACGGAGCTCTCGTTTTCAAAAATGAAACGAATCAAGAGTGAGCAAAGAAGCCTCTTGTTTCAAAAACGATTAGACATGCTAAGTTTGATGTTTATCGAGGCAGATGTTCTCCGTGAAATTAATTTCGATAACATTATAGATGCGTTTATTGATCGCAAGAGCAGAAAAAAAAATATTCAAATTTTTTCAAATTGTTATGATTATTTTATAGTTCTAATTTAGCAAAATAAAGTAAAATTTAATTTTTTATTATTTATTTTAATTTTAAATATGCTTTCTTAAATGAACAGATATATAAATTCTTTTATATTTGAATAAATAAAAAATACGCGAGAAAAAAAATTGAATCTAAGGGCCCTAAAAATTTGAATGATCTATGCGTACGCTTAATCCGGCCGTGACCATACATCACAATGTTTCAAGTATATTAAACAAATAAAATGACGTAATATTGAGTTATAAATTTGTAAGATATTTGCATCAGAAATTTGCACTTTTCCATGGTTGTAAATGTTGAATGGGTAGCAAAATGCAACACAATGTTTCTCTTTTAGGGGCAAATTTATATATTTTTGGAAACCATATCTGATTAATTTTTGAACCTAAACTGTAATAAAATTTAAAAATCCTTATTTATAGGTTTAAACCTTGTGTTTCTCATGAAAATAGAAATGTGAACATTTTAATAATTTTCTTCTTTAGGTTGGCATAGTTGGCCGAACGGGAGCTGGAAAATCTTCTTTGACTCTTTGTCTCTTCCGCATTATTGAAGCAGTAGATGGAACTATTGAGATCGATAAGAGAGATATCTTTAAAATGGGATTGCACAGCCTCAGATCAAAAATTACAATCATTCCACAGGTACTCTTTATATAAAACAGTCAATCAGTTACTACCAAAGTAACACAAAATATCTTAATGATATTAATCTATTTACTAATCTTTATGATGTTAATCTATTTACTAATCTTTATGATATTAATCTATTTATTATATATGTTGACAACCTATTGTTGCAATATGTGTCTGACATCATGAAGATATTGCACCTATATTTGTGTTCCTTTTGTACTAATTGTTACTTTTAAGAAAAAACTTATAATGATTAAAATATAATGAGTGTCTGGTCTTGTTTGCATTAGATTAGATTAGATTTAGAGGATGGGCAGAGTTCTAGAGAGCATCGACCAGAGGTCTATCGTACCCAAACCCTAAATTGTGATTAGCAAGAAAGCTTTATGACTGAAATAAAGTTGAGCAGACGCCTTCCCAGATCTTAATGCAGTGTTGCTCTAAATGCTCAAATCTTTGAGCAGAATAGACCTCACAATCACTCGTCTCCTTTTCAAGATGACAATCTCTATAAAGAGATTTAATACCCATCACGTACAGGTGAATCCTGAGGATACAGTGTGTGTCCAGTGAGAAGACCAATGATCTTCCTCAGACTGTTCCTGTTAAGAAACTCTTTACAAGGTACACTGGGACACCTCCTTAGCTTGTCTCTGTCGCGCCATTTGCTCATGGGCAATTTTGCCATAGAGCTTGAATATCGATGCCCTGAATGATGTGAGAGAAATTCCCAAGGCTGGTTCCCGGAAAATCGCACTGTTGCCAGCGCGTGCTGCTTCATCGGCTAGCTCATTTATTATATATGCCCATCACTTTGCATTAGTCCTGAATCGGTGTAAGCACTCGAGTTTGTCTATCGACAGGACATTGCAGACATTGACAAGTTTGAGTCGAATTTTGCAAAACAAAAAAATTAGGTTTTTCATAACAAGAACTTAAATGACATTTTGAATCTTAATTCTTGTTACACGATTAGGAATAAATTCTTATTTTCCAATAATTTTTTAAAATCCTTTTAATTACAATACTAAGCTGTTATTATGTTTCTAGGATCCAGTATTATTTTCTGGAACTCTTCGAATGAATTTAGATCCCTTTGATTGGTACAACGATGCACAACTGTGGGAGTCTCTTGAACACGCTCACTTGAAAAGTTTTGTTTCGGGCCTGGAGGATGGATTGAATCATGAAATTGTTGAAGGTGGCGAAAATTTGAGGTTAGTCTGCTGTCTACTTGTCAGTTTATCCACATGTATAACTATTTAATACCTGTGACTTAATTTTTTCTTGCTTTCTGCGACAAAACTCTCTAGCACTAATATTTTTCAGCAAGATATTTTCAATTATAAAAAATATGTATGTTACTAATTTAAGGTAACAAAAACGCTGTGTTTACAAAATCAGTGAAATTTTTTTACCTGAATGTAATTTTTTTATTCTAATATTATGGACAATATTCTCGCATTTTGTTGAGGGAGACGCACTAATTATTTCCTGTATTGCATTTTACAAACTATCATTACATTTAAAAGAATAATTATCATGAAATCTGTAGCAGCATAACATTACCGAAAAATGGATCGACAATGAAATCACGCGAATTGGTCTTTTCAGAAAGGGGGTTACTCAAATGCATGTTTCGTTTCAAGATTTTATTGTTGTAATCAATAATAGCTTATAAAAAATATCGGTTTTAAAAATTAAGTGGAAATCAAAAGCAATAACTGCCAAAAAAAAATCGATCAAATCATTGCCTTAAAAAGTAAATTATCAAATGTGCAATTCGAATTTCCAATATATCGACTTATACGTAGCGGGATATCTAAAAAGCCACGTGAAAATCTGTGTTAATGACTGTCGAAAATGCAATCAAAATAGATTTACGATATCGGCATAAATTGAGTGCTTCAAATTGAATGTGTAAATTTCTGCAGAAGAGCAACTCAATTTTTTTTATTTTCCAAAAGCAAAATATTTCTGCAAGAACTCTGTAAAGTTTTGCAACAATGTCGCCTTGTCACCGTCATTCTGTTGTGGGGTATTTAATATTATCTAGGTATTAAGGTTTATTACTACATCTATAAATTGCCTGTTTGTTTTTACAGGTATAGATTAGTATTGCAGAGAATATATTTTGTTTCCTTTATAAATTATGCTTTTATTTACTTTTAAACACATTTTACTTTTAACTATGAAAATAGAAAAGCGGCAAAATGATACCCCTTCAAATTTTAAACTAACAATTTTAAACTTCATTTATTACTGCGAATGAGGATATCAATTAGCTGGCATTGTATACTGTGAAAACCACCAAGTGCGTAGCGTTGGGGTTGGGGGGTGATAAATTTTTTTTTGTTCAGGTATTAAAAGAACTATTTTTAATAGTTGAACAAAAATTTAGATTATTACATCCACTATCCTATTTTTTTTATATTTAAATCCTTTCCCGTTTATTATTTTTCTTACTTAGTTTGCTTTATTCTAATGTGTCCATCGAAGATAGAAGATAACTTATAAAAATATGTTTTAAATTATTGACTTAATAATTGTTTGCTTTAAGAAGCTATTCGGGTATTTTTGTGGTGGGTTACTCGTGGGTGCTGGTTAAAGCAGCTGTTTGAAATGAATATCGGTCTATTTGTTTAAAAGGGATTGTTGATTTTTAATTAAGACTTCGGTAATGTACTCATTTTCTGGAATGTCCATACGCTTTGTCTTTCAAAGCAAGATTCAAGTTTGTTTCATTTAAAATTTGAATTTTTTCACTTGTAAGGAAAAGTCCTTTTAAAAATTTGCTCTTTTTTATCATTTTTAAAAATTTTTTATTCCTCTTAAGGTAAGTGAGTGTCAAGCAAAAAAAACATTTTATTTTACAAATTTGTAGTTAATTTTTTTATTTAACTGTAGTCATTTTTTACGGTATACTTACTAATTTTATTTGAATAAAACATTAGTTAATAGATGTTTTGAATTCAGAAGTTGAATCAGAACAAAATTTTGCATTAATAATAATAATAAGTGCAGAAGAATAACCCTGCAGACATTAGGGAAGAAATATATGTCCTTCCCTTTCAATACAATAAATATCGTCATAAAAAATAATTTATATATATTAAACTCCTTAAAAGTGAAAGCTTCTATGATAGAAACTCATTACCATACAATCATTAATACTTAAAGGGGAAAGAAAAAGATAAAATAAACTATGAATATTCGTATTTCCGTCTAAATCGTCACTCATCTTGCCACATGTTTGAATTAAAATATTGGAGTGAAAAATGTCTTGGTGTTTCTTGTAAGTTCCATTTTGGCTTTTTTTTTTTAATTGATTAGATTAATTTGACATTTTTTCTTCTCTTGGTTGTTTATTTTTTGTCTTTTAAAGTTTCTGTTGTGCACACCTTATATATGAAAGCGTAAATTTAAAATTGTTTCTGGAATTACTGTTTTCAGCACGGCTCGACGTCTAAATTTTCCGACGTGCTCGTCATATGCATTTTTTCCCTGTATATGCCCAGCCAGGCATGTAAATAGTTAGAGATATCATAAAATACTGATTACCTCACGAATTTTAAAAAGGTATTTGGAAAGGGTGAATCAAGGTCACCAAAGAGAAAGACAAAAAATATAATCGATTAAACCTAAATGTTATTGAATTTAATTATCTAAATAAGACAATGAGATGATAATTTAATTATTCAATAAGTTTTGTAATTTTTTGTTTCTCAGGTAATGCTTTTTTTATTTAAAAAAATTATCGTTGCATATTTAGTGCCTCGTGTTAAGGTATTTGGTATATTTTTGAACAATTTGATTCTTGTGCGCATAAATGCAGTTGTCATAATTGTCTAAAAATCAAAGTCAATAATTTTTATATTTATTTCGTAATAAATACTTTTGTTTTAAAGTGCCTTTTATTCTTAATTTGTTTTTAAATTGTGTGACTTACATTCATTCACTCTGAAATGTCGTCTATGAAAATGATAGAAAAATTGCTGCCTTTTAAAATTAGGTTTTTTTCGATAATTTGTTATACTTGAAAAATAATACTTCGGAAGTAAAGTTTCCTTCTTTTCGAAAATATAAAAATCCTTATATATTATTCGACAACTGTGTTTTCAAATCTATTTTTCCCAATCTGGACTGTCTTTAATAACTATAGAGCAAGAAATAACAAAACAATAAATGGAACCTGAAGGGCTCAATTGGTTGACCAATCATTTTGTCAAATCTTCAAGACAAATGATTGTCTGAAGCATTTGATTGAAAATGATTCTTTAAAGCATTTAATAACATCTGAAATGTATGTCTATTGTTTAATGTATGCAAAATTAGCTTTATAAATCCTTTAAAATCTCACAATTTTTTAAAAATGTGAACTGAAACAACTCCATTTATTACTTTTTGACATACTTCATTTGAACAGTTCATATTTTTACATGCTTGTGAGTTTTACGCATTTTGGTTGCAGTGTAATTAATTGTGTTCACATATAGACTACAATTTAGTTACTTTCATTTAAGTTATAAAATATTTTTGGTAGTTATTTTTAACGAACTTTGTTGTAATGAATAATTTTGTTTAAAAGTTCAAAAAATATAAATTTGAATGAAATGTTTTACCTTTGATTTTGTAAATGTGTTTTGAAATGCTCTTTTTTCAGAGTGGCTATTATAAGCGTAATAATATAATGGGTATATTACCTTCATTAAATAAAATTAGGATGTGATTAATATGTGCTTAATTATCATATTTTCGGATTCATTATTTAATTCATAATAAAAATGCAATAAAAAATAGAAAAAATTTCAAATTTTGTTTTGTTTTCGAAGTTTTTTTTTTAATTATTATTTTTTTAAAAATTTTTCATAGTGAAATTAAAATGTTACTGAAATATAGCAGATTCTAAAAATAAATGAATGTGCCCTTCTCCTAAAACTTTATTTAACTATGCCTATGAATACCACCACTTAGGTGATGTTAAGAAATATTTAAACGCATTAAAGATTGTGTTGTAAACTGCATGCGTCTGATGGAAAAGACTCATTTATACTACCCTGAACACCTGCTCTGGTGGACCGGAATCAGTAAATGTTAACAAGATTTTTCGTTGCAATATCTCTCACAACATCTCCAGGGGTCTGTTTAGAAGATATTTGGGTCAGTTACCGGACCCTTCACGAAATATATTTTCATAAAAACGGACCCTTCAAAAAATGATTTTTCTTTTAGTCGGACCCTCCACAAATTTGTTTATCTTTATTATTGTTTTGCTAATTGAATAAACCCTTCTCAGGGCAGAAAACAAGAAAGATTAACGAATTAAGCTTTGTGTTCGACAGACAATTCTTCCCTTATTCGTCCGAAACGAATATTCTGCTTTCAGCAGTATAGGCTAAATACCAAATATTTGTATGTTGCATCTCTAATTTAGAAGCAGCAATTGCTGTTTATTTTTGAAAATTTAATTATTTTTATTATAATTTTACAGTGCTGAGCATAATCTTGTATCTATTTACAATTTAAAAACTCCTTGAAAAAGTTTTTTGCAATAACCGGACCCTATTTGCACAAATTCATTAAAACAGGATCCTGGTTGAATGAATGTGAGTATATTTTTCACGATTTCACAAAAACAGGACCTTTCACAAAATGTCTGGATAGACCACTAATCTCTCACAATTCAAGTTTAAAAGAAGGCACATTTTTCCTTGAAAAGTGACCCTTTTTCTAGATGTAAATAAACAAAGAGAAAATGCATTATATTCGATAATCTGCTCACTCCAATGGATTGAGCAAACTATAATAAGCTTTTATTATTTTTTACAGATGATTCATTAAATAAATCACATTTATCCTAAGTGTTATCTTCATTTGCTTCTCAACTATATTAATTCTTGTGTTTTTTTTTAATACTTATGAAAAGTTTTTAAAATGCCTGTATTTCTTCAAAATGTTTGTCAGTGACAAAATTATCAAATTTTTTGTTTTTTAATAGTGGGCACTTGGGGTCTATTTCCCATTGGCCACAGAATTGCTACTCTTTATCGTTACCCAGTGGGCACCTGTGTTGCTAAGCCACATCGGTGGAGTAGCATTGCCTACAGGACTGGATTACCCATTAGGCCTTGGCCTGGGGCCCCCTTAATAAAATTTTTTTGAAAATAAATTTTAAAAAAATTCGAAAAATAATGATTTAAAAAAATTTAAATAAATACATTTTAAATATATATTAATAAAATACCATAATTTTTTTAGTTCTAATGTAACAAAATAAAGTAAAATTTAATTTATTATTTATTTTAATTTTAAATATGCTTTCTTAAATGAAAAGTTATATAAATACTTTTATATTTGAATAAATAAAAAATATGCGAGAAAAAAAATTTAATCTAAGGGCCTCAAAAATTTTAATGGCCTTGGGCCCTGCGTATGTTTAATCCGGCCCTAGTTGCCTATGTCATACAACCATGAAACAGTTTATAGGGCGTGTTATATTCACACAGAAGAAAGGACATAGAACACAGAGAAAGAGGGAGAGAAAGTTACTCACCACAACTGGGCCCCCCAGCCCAGTAACCAGGACCCGACTTAGCCTAATTGGGGACCGGGGTAAAAGCTTCTTTGGGGACCTCCCTCTACTTCATTACTTCAGTTCTAAAAAACTGAACTTTATGGAGGTACAGTGGAAAGTCGCATATCCGGAATCGACGGGACTTTCCGAAGTCCGGATAATCGATTTTTCCGTATAATAGACCCCCAAAGTAAACAGAGATTAAAATGATCTGAATCTAAGAAGCAGAAATTAAATAACATTATTTTTCGGGCAATAATGTTTTAGTATTAGAATGATATCTAATCAATCAAAAACAAAATATTAGAAAAAAAATAATTATTGCTATTCTAAAAATAAATATAGAAAACGAAAAAAATTCCCAGTTATGAAAATATTAATTGCTCTCTCCACCATTTTGAACTAGAACGATTCAAGCAAGAAGGGGAAATTCCCGTCATTCAATAAGGTGGGTAGGTGGAGAAGAAAAATTCATTTCCTCCTTACTTGTCATTCAAGTTGAGGGCGGGGTAGTGACAAATTCTTATTTTCTCTCCTGTCATTGGCTATCAATCAAGCATAAAGGCGTGGCATGCTGATTGGGTTCTCTTTATTTTTTCTTGTGTGACTAAAGGGGATTCCCCCTCCACTTTAACGTTTGCTGTGTTTACCCTTTTTCACAGTACTTCTTTCCCTAACACTTTATCAAAAAGGTTCCAGGAAATGCCTCTTTTACTAGCCAGCTGCACAGGAAAGAAGGGGGGAGGGGACTCAATTGTGCTCTTTTGAAAACAAATCTCCCCCCCCCTTTCCTGCCTTCCAGAGGAGGAGCGTTACTAACGGTACGGTCTTGGTAGATCTTCTGTTCTCTTTTCCGTTGATTTATGGGTTTAATGCATAAACCATTAGAAGCTAAGAAAGGAAAAAACCTGTCAAAATACTTTTTTTTTTTAAGAGAGTGGGGAAGATGAAGAAATGTTTGTTTATTGTGATTGTTAAAAAGTGTCCGGGAAATTGACCCTTCCGGAAAAGGGACGTCCGGATATGGGACGTTACACTGTATTTAAATTTTTTACCTCATTATACATATATAAGAAGAAAATTAACAAGAACCTTATATAGCTATAAAGTCCCCCTTCCTCCAATGGTCTGACGAAATATCGTACTGTCCATTTTATTGATTTTCTGACAATTCTATCTCTATCATGCCGAATGCAATTTTATGATTGTTAACTTTGTCATCTAGCTGCGAAAAAATTCATATCCTTGCTGACATTAAGGCAAAATTAATTTAAAGTTTTGCAATTACGATGACTCAATTAAGCCAATCAGAAGCCTGTATTTTTGTAAATACATTGCATTTTGCGATATGTAAAAATACAAGCTTTTAATTGGTCAAATGTGTCCATAGAAATTGCAAACATTTAACTGAATTCCGCACTAGAAAGCCACGGATTTACGAATTACGAGATTTTTTGTGTTCATATGATAGATTAATGATGAAGCCAACATTAAACTGACGAATTAAAAAAGTTCATTCAAGAAGGAAACCTAAAATGAACTTTCTATTCGATTTGGGGCCCTGGGCAACTACCCCATATGCCCCCTGCATTAATCAGGCCCCGTCCAGTAACCACTAATTATCTAAAATTTGTTCCTATCTTTTTGCAGCGTGGGTCAAAGGCAGCTTGTGTGTCTAGCAAGAGCTCTGCTGCGCAAGACCAAGATTCTGGTGTTGGACGAAGCGACGGCGGCCGTGGATCTCGAAACAGACAGTCTCATCCAGGAAACAATTAGAGAAGAGTTTAAAGATTCTTCCGTCCTTACCATCGCTCATCGTCTCAATACTGTGATGGATTATGACAGGTTATTCATTTCTCTAATTACTTAATATTATATTGTAGTTGTCGTTGAGCAACTGACCCAATTTTTGGGTTTACTGCTACTGATGTTCAGCGTTGGCCTTTTGTACCCAATCCAGAGGACGAGGGAACGCTTGGATCAAGTATTGGCATTTGACCTGGGTTGAAATCAGTAGCAAAGTTTGCCAGTGCTAAAAGATACTATTTTATATTTGATTTTATGATCGTCGTCGAACAGCTGACCCGATTTTTGGTTTACGATTGCCGGTGTTGGACACTATCCTTTTACTTCTTTTTTTAGCGATGGAGAAAATTATCTTTAGAGTATAATACTGCAGGAAAAAAGAAAAAAAATGCCTTGAAAATTCTGCAGAAAAGAAAACCAAAATTTTTTACTTCCCAAAAGAAAAATCCTTTTGCCCTTCTGCAAGAAAAGGTGCAAGAACTCGATTGCGTTCTGCCACAATGTCGCAATGTCGATTCTGCCATGGGGTTTTGAGAGTGGCCAGCAATGATATCTAATGGTTAAAGGATGCATGTTCGAGCTGATAAAAGAGAATTATTAAATGTATTGTTGTGTTTTTGTAGAAGAAAATAGTGACTTCGGTAAGTCGTGAAAAATTCTAGGAATGAGTCGAGAAAAATCAAAAAATAGTTTTTAAGACCTCTTTCAGATGGTCTTTAAGTTACATGGTGCTTAGCGTTTTCAAAAAGTGCTTAAAGTCGTTTTTTTTTATGGATTTGAAAATCTAAAATGTAGGAGATACCCTGTATTTATTTCTTAATAATTTATTTCTTCGTGCCTTTTCACGCGAAAAATGGCACTGAACCAAACCTGATGAAGAAGATAATTTTAGAACTTGAAATGTTTGATCGAATACTATTTAATCTTATGTAATATTAGAAGATAGGATTCAGGAGTTTTCTAGCACAGCAGTATTATATTGCATTTTTCCTATCGTTAAATAATAACGCTACCTGGGTTTATTCTTAAGTTACAAATCTGTTATCCAAAAGTATGAGACATGAACCCAAAAGTTCGATTATCAGTGCTGAAAACAGAATAATAAAAGTGGTTGAGACACATTCCAGCCACACATGTTATGCTGTCTAAATGAATATCTATAGTTTGTCTAAAGTAAGAACTCCCCATGCCATTTGTCTGCCATGGTAACTATTTCAAGTAGGGGTGTGGGATCACAACACAGGTTTTGAGAGAAAGTGAATCTTTTTCTTGTGTTAGCTCTAGAGTGAAGAGAAGCTACCCTCCCTGAGATGTGCTAGTCTCGTTTCCATAGCAGCAGACGGCCTCAGACTTTGTGGTTGGGTGAGTTCTTACCGTGGACAAACTATATATGCCTCTCATTGTTTAATACACTAGAGTCTCATACGTTGTTGTTTAACTTTATAGAGGGCAGCGCAAAAGTGCTTTGCTATTAGATTTTCAAATATATTGTGGAAAAAATAGTTTTTAAGACCTCTTTCAGATAATAACATGGTGCTTAGCGTTTTCAATAAGTGCTTAAAGGTGCTTTTTTTTATTTTCGTTGTTTAAAAGCCCTTAAAGGTGCTTTTTTTCAAGGGTGTTTTTAAAAAGTGTTTAATTTTTTCTTTTCAAAAAAGAGATTTTTTTCCTTGCTGCGTCGATTTTCAATGCGTATTATGCGAAAGCGTGGTTTTCACTTAGTTCTATTTGATGTTTTTGCAATTAATTCAAACACAAACCATTTCGGCGTATCGTCGGCCCGCATCATATGACAGCATCATGTATGATAGCTCCTCAATCATGTTTGATTAAATACTTGGGAGTCCGCACGTGCGTCTACTGAGCTGGATTCGGTGAGATTCTTGCACTCTCACTTTCCAACTCTGCATTTTGCAAGATATTCTCCATTTCAGGCTTCATTTTCCACCCTCTGATATTGAACTGAAAAATATCTCGATAATTTTATAATAGCTAATATAATAAAGTAAAAAGTTCTTTGTCAGAAACTAGTTACTTTTATCATGATCATGTAAAGTCTTTGAAAGTTATTTTGCATTTTGTTAATGTACATAGTGCTTAAAGATGTTTTTTGAGTGCTTAAAAAGTACTTAAAAGGTGCTTATTTTATCGTTAAATTATTTGACTACGCACCCTGCATATGTGCCTCTCATTGCTTAGTAAACTTGAGTCTCATACGTTGTTGTTTAACTTTATATAATTCAGCGCAAAAGTGCTTTGTTTTTGTTGATTTTTAAATATAATGTGGAAAAAATTGTTTTTAAGACCTCTTTCAGATAATATTCAGAGAACCAAACTTTCAAATACTTTTTTAATCTATTGGATGGCAACTGATAATTTTTTTTTCTTTTCTCTTTGCAGAATCATGGTTTTAAATCAAGGCGCTGTTGCAGAGTTTGATTCTCCCACAGCTTTGTTAGAAAATAAAGAATCCATTTTCTATGGGATGGCCAAAGATGCTGGACTTGTTTAAATACTGCAAAGAATATATTTTGCAGAATCAGTATTGCGTAGTTTTATTTGATCTTCAGAGAAGTGAGAAAAATCAACTCTGAATTTTATTTTATTTTAGTACGTTCAGTTATTATTTTAATGTACTTAATTTATGTTTTAAAAATGTATTATTTTATTACATTAAATCGTGCTTTTTATTCCATTTCCAGTGTTAAGCCTCTTTTTAAAATGGTAAATGAATAATTTCTTTTAATTCTATCCCCTAACAAGGTTTTTCGTCTTGGATTAAATCTCGACCTTAGTTTTGTTTTCTATTTTTTCATAGCTTTTTTCTTCTGTTTTTGTACTATGGTTGAATGTGAATAATAACAAGCTTCCTAAAACTAGATGAAATTTAGGAAACTTCTGATGCATCCCTCCGCTTATGTTATGCTTACAAGCCTATGTGTATAACAGACTTGAACATTCTAGGAAGTTTTAGTATTGTGTATTTAATTTATGCGCAACTCTAAAATTCGAAAGAGTCTCAAGTAATTTATAAATTCTAGCGGTTCAGGAGCCTAAAACAAATTTCAGAAAATTTATGTCTCAACATAAATGAAGGTTTGCCATGTTTTGAATAATATCCCTTATTTTGCTATGGTTGTGTAAAATATCACAGTTTGATATTCCATTGTTCATGGTGCTGAGCGAAAGTGCTTTATTTTTGATTTTATTTTTTATAAGCTCTTAAAGGTGCTTTTTAAAAAGAGCTTAATTTCCCTTTTCGAAAATAAGATTTTTTCTTTACCATGTCTGCCATGTACTATGCAAAAGCCTGCTTTTCACATTGTCCTATTCAACGTTTTCACAATTCATTTAACCACAATCTATTTTGGCGTACTGTCGGCCCATAGCGCATGAAAGCGCTAATAATTTTACATGTTTGATGAAATACTTGCGAGTCCGCGTGTGCGTCTACTGAGCTGAGATTCTAGCACTCTCATGTGCAACTCTACTGCATTTTGCAAGATAATCTCCATTTCAGACTTCATTTTCCACCCACTGAAATCAAACCGAAAACCATCTCGATCTTTTTATAATGGCTAATATAGTCACAAAAAGAGTTCTTTATCAGAAACTGGTTATCTTATCATAATCATGTTAAGTCTTTGAAAATTATTTTGCATTTTTTTAATGTATATAGTGCTTAAAAATATGTTTGAGTGCTTAAAAAATACTTAAAAGGTGCTTATTTTTTGCCGTGAGATTTGGCTACGCATCCTGTTATTATTTTACTTTAAGTGTTTACAATGTAACACCTTCTTTCAATTTAAATCTCAACGAAACAAACAGCAAATGAAGCATGCTGTGATGCAAACCCAAAACATTTTACACAAATAAGGGATAACTCTAAAGACATGTCAAATCTTTATGTTGGGATTTACTGAAATTTGTTTTAGGCTCGCGACCCGTTTTAAAATGTGAGGGAAAGTCTTGTGAAGGGTGAAACTTCCTAGAATACACATAAGTAAGTATACACATAAGGGAAGTTTTCTTCCAGTTTTAGGAAGCTTGTTATTGGTCCATTTGAATACAATGAATACTGTGTCTGATTGGAAGTCTGACTATAGAAGAGGGTGATGCAATTTTTAAGACCAACAGTTGCAAATATTTTAGTTAACATATTCAGAATACATTATTTTAATAGTCTGTTGATAACTCTCTCTGTAAATCAAGCATTCCTTTGGTGGTTAGTTTTGAGATTGATTATTATTTTTGTGAAACTTTGCTTTTTAGTACAAATATAATTGAGACAGTTTTGGAACTGCATCATTTTGTTGAACTATTTATGCAAAATCTGGTAACCCATGCCATATTGTTTTGAAATGTGTTTATTTATTAAATGATTATTTCTTTGTGATTAAAAGCGTACAGATTAAAGTCATTTCTTTGAAAGTTCTTCTCAAAAGACTCATTAAAAACTGCATTCGTTTCAGTCTTCATTGCCTTGCTTGGCTCGTTGTTCAAATCATTTATACTTTCATCTGAAGGTGGTTTGAGCTTGTCCAAGTATCTCATCCAATTGTCAATGTTTTCATTATTCCTAGATTCCACCATTTCACTTTCATAGCAATGGCTCAGTGTGTAAAAATGTCGGTACGCCACCACGGTGATTGCAATCAGTACAAAGGCCACCGTCCCTAGCGTCACTAAAAGTACGACATATCGTTGATCACCTTCTGAAATAAAATAAAAAGAATTATGAAGGAACACCAAGACTCTCTCTTAATAGGGCCTGATATGCGTCAGTGGCGTAGTTTTGAGGAGAGTTTAGGGCCCCCCTCCGAAATTATACATTACTTGATTCTATTCGGTTTGGTAAGATGTAGACATAAAACTTTTTTATTATTCATTTTTCTTAATTTAAACATTTAGAATATATATAGCTGCAAACGGCCGTTGAGGAAAAAAACTTCTTAGTAGCAGTTTGTTTTATTAAATCTTCAGTTTAAAGTTTCAACTTTTTTTTTAACCTACCACGACAAATCAGTAATTAAAAAAATATGTAAATATGATCTATTTGTTAGCTTACTTAGCTCTTCAATGTTTAATTAGTTTAATCAATAAAACATTTTTCCAACTTTACTTGTTCATTTGCTACCACTACAAGTAGGCAGGTGTGTGTATGTATGTATGGTATGGTATGGTATGTAGTGCAGACGATATATTAAGTTACGAAATGAGACGCAAAAAGTACTTTCTCTGAATAAACATACCTTTTTCCCCTGAAAGATTTGAATTTCTGAGTCTCAAATTAAAGGTAGCCGCAATAGTTTCTACAGGAGAGGAGTTGAAATTTTGAAATCTTTCTTTTACTTTTTATGTGTTTTACGATATCGGGAGAACTTTTTAAGTAAACTCAAGTTTTTTTCCTTGCAATTTTAAAATTTATTTAATTCCATGCGAACAGTATGTGATTTATCATAAGACTTAAGAGGGCTTCAACGTTTCTGGGGGCAATATATACAATATTTAAACCTTTTAGGATTCCCCAGACATGCAGAAGCCTAGACCTTATGATAAATCAGGCCCTGCTTTTCTTTTATAAGTGACCTCCATATTCGCTATTTTCTAAGGGAAACTAATTTATTAAAGTTCCCTTTTTATAGACGAATATTTTATAGAAATTATTTAATAAATTTATTAGTATTTAATAAATTTATTAGTATTTAATAAATTTATTAGTTATAAAGGAATTAATTTATAAAATTTCAATTTATTATTTAATAAATTTATTATAAAATTTTTAAACATTTTACATATATTTTTAATAAAACTTTTGCCTCATTCTGAATACATATGATAAAAACTGCTGTTTCTTAATGTTTTCTCAATAGATAATTAATTAAAATTATATAGAAGTATTTGCTACAAAAAGCTATGTTTTTGAGTTACTTATCTTGCATTTTTCACTCTAAAACATATAGTGTAGAATTTGGTGGCACAGAAAGTGGTAATTAAATGCTTGTGAATGGAATCGAACCGAATTAAGAATACACAATTGGTGTTGTAAAACCAATCTTTTAATCCTTGAATCTTTCCAAATAATCTGACTATCTTACCTGAGAGAGAGGTTGAAGTGATGAATGTTTCTGCCGTGACTTGCGATGCCAGATTTTTCTGAATAAACTCTTCCACATTCTGAATTATGTTTTGAAGTCCTTTCATTTCAGTAGACTGAAAAACATATTCATTCAAAGATTCATTAGTCAGAAAAAATATCGAAAAATCTAATTCGTTTCTATTTTGCTCTTCATGAAAAGTTTGTGTGGAACTAATTGATTAGCATAACCATTTAGATTGACCCTTCATTAGTCTGATCATTAGAACAATCTTTTTTATTTTGCGCAAAATAAACGATGTGAAAAATATTAAACTTATAAAAAAACACACATACAGTTCTATTTATAGAATCCTGTTGAAGGGTTTTAGAAATTTAAAATAGAAAAATATAAAGTTACTGTGGTGGTTGTTGACCGGTGAATGCTGACCGTCGCTTTGGTAAATATATACTAGGTCTAGTGAAGTACCCGGTATGCCCTACATTAATGTTTTTTTAAGGTCACGTGCCCGGTACTCCCAACACTGATGATAGTGTTTCCATCCTCAGCAGATATCAACGAATGAATCAAATCGGATATAACAAATATTTTGGACACTCTCTTGATTTCGGTCATTCACGGTTTTGCCACTGAAAGTATCTGAAGTTCAGTTGTGAATTTCTATAACGTCAACATGAGTCTTCTTAACAATGTTTCCTACTGGAGAAAACTATCTCAAGTGATATTTTTTTTCTCTCATTAATTTCTCCACATTTTATTAAGAAGTAGTTGGCAACGTAATTGCTTAAGCAGGCAATTTGATAAATCTTATCTTTTTTTTTTTCCTTTCCTGATTGTAAAAGAACTCCTTATGTTTCCAGTGATAATGTAAATTGTACAACCTTTCCTATTGCGAATTTATTAAAAAAATTATTCTATTGAAAAATTTGCCTTTCAAAATTGTTTATTGTTTTTATATAGTCAAGACCCACTATAGTGAACCTTCGAGGGACCGAAATTTCTGTTCACTATAACCGGGAGTTCACTCTATTCGTACTGCAAACAATTTAAACTCATTTTTCCGAACTGTTTCCTTTTATGACACTTTATTTAAATAAATGACCCGTAAAAAAAGAAGTACTAAATATTGTTTTTTAATCATTTGATAATCATTTTTAATCATCAAAATGACCAAAACATGAAAAAAATCAGTCAAAGACAGAAAAAAGTTCATAATTTCCAATTTCCTTTCTTCTCTTCGTTGACTATATACAAAAACATTATATGTGTATAGCTAGGCACGGGAGCGAACATTTTGTTCACTATATCCGGGAGTTCACTATAAACTGTGACTATAGCAGGGTTTGACTGTACAATTGTAATTTAAACGCAAATAAAATAGTATTCGAACTTACCACTGTTATTTCAATTGTGTTCTGCTTTTCAGCGCATTGAGCAAATACGGGTATAGTTACCAAGGACCAGATAAATTTCTGTACATCCAAACACAGTTTAGCAGTGTTCAAAAACTGGAAGGAAAATATTTTTTTTAGGAAAATATATGAAAAACAGGAGGCATTTCTTATGAATGCTTATAAATACAAAAAAGAAAAGGTTTTAGGAATTCTGAACAAAATACGATATAAATGAATTTTTAGTCATTTCGAAAAAATACATTTCTCCTCTGGAAAATTCACCTGTAAAAATACAAAGTAATTTTATTAAAATATTGTAGATCCCGAAAAAAGAATCCACGGAGATTCGAATAATATTGTCTCGTAGAATAGAATATTTGTTGTCAATCAGAATAGATTTATTAATAAACATCTAGAATACACAGAGGGGTGCGATTATTCTTGTTTTTCAGTGGCGCCACCTATGACCGAGAATTCGACTTCTGCCACACCCGCTTATAGGGCGGACCGGTATAATTTGTTATGGGAACATAGAGGGCTTTATGACCCGACAGATTTCACCCTTTCCTACCACGGGGGAGTTTTCTGCAGTCCAGCACTCACTTATATGCAGTGAAATTAGGAAATAATGTAAGAGAATAACATCCAATAAATAATAACCAAAATAATAACCAAATTGCGTGCGTATTTTTAAAGTTTTGTTAGAAATTTGGAGGATTGAACTCACGACTTGCCATGTCGATTCGTCAGTGTCAATATGTACGATTAGGGTTGTTACAGGAATTTGAAAATGGTATCAAAAATCATCCCGGAAGAGTGCTTGAAGGAATTTAATTTTTTTATCATACCTCCTAATCTTCAAAATGTAAGCCATATGTATTTTCTTTGAAAAATGTGTTGTGGTAATCCACATATTACTTCGAAAATTTGTGTTCCATATTTGAATTTGTTTAATGTTTGTTCCATTATTGAAATCTTCCAAGCTTGTGATAAAATTGCTCTCAAAATTTATTTTAGCTCGAATAATTGTTTTTACATTAAAACTCTATACCGAACTTTGGATCGTTTTATTTAAGATTAAGTTAAAGATGTATCCGATTTCATAATAATGAAACTTTTCATTTCGCAAAATACTTTGTGAACTGTCTACAATGACAATAATCAAGTTATGCTCTCATTACAAAGAGCTGAAGTTGTAATTCTTTTTTAAACAATAGTTTTGAAAAATGGAATTTTCTACTTTAGTTTCTCCCTGAAATTTTAAATAAAGTTCGGCAATAGACAGCTAACTAAAGAAAATTAAATATATTCTTCTAATAGTGCAATCTAAGAGCAAAACTAACGGTTAAAATGGTTTGTTTAGCTTACCGCAGAAAACATTGGGTCTTGGTAACCCAGTGGTTATAAAATCGGGGGCGATGCTCGAATCCGCTAAGACGATTTGCTTGTAAAATCTGGGGAATCGAAAGCCCTGAGCAGTATTATGGGATCTGGAAAAAATTTCATTTTTCCTTCACATCTGTGTCTAAATGTAAGAATGCGTGGTGCTGCCATCTATCCACGGGGTTTCTGAACTAAGGCGTACTTTCATCCAGGCGGTCCTCTCTTTTCAAACGAAAAGCTTACCCTCCTGATATAATTCGCAAAAGGCTGGCGAGCTTGAATTGTCCAAGTGTCATTCGAAACAACATCATCTTTAATTTGTTTCATTTAGCAGCACCCTCTGTTGTCCCTCATTTTGATGAGAAAAATATGTCAGCCGTCCGTTTTTTCCCTGTATAATTTACAAACAATTGGTACAGTAACTTATTTGATATAAAAGCTTTGGTTTCATCGTTTGTAAAAGAACAAACAATTTGGAATAATTTTTTATATTTTGAGCTTTACATATAGAATAAGCGAAAGATCCATTGCATTCAAACTTATGGAGGAGACTCGTTTTGAGCACTCGGTTATAAATAGGTGCTCGCGAATGAAGGAAACAAAACAGATTTGAAAAAAGTTGCTCACGAAAATAAAGGTGAGATAAAAAAAATAGATAAATAACGGAGAAGCAAAAGGGGCATGAAAAAGAGTTTGTGACCAACAGCTGTGGATGATTCGTGTATCAACGGTTATAGCATTGAAATTTGTCTGACCTTATGTTTTGTTGGCTTTCATTCCCAAATGAAACATTACTTGAACGGTGAGTAGATATATAAGAGTTTTCATTTTTTGTAATTTGAACGTTAATATTTATGTAGGCAGGTAGGTACTTTATTGCACTCTATTGGTCTCTGAGGAGGATCCGAAGACATGCCATCCCCTGCTTTGGTAACTGGACGACCTGCACCCTCGATCCAGACTGCTGATCAAAGTGTTCACCCAACCGCTTACTGACACCGAAGCTAGTGATGCTTGACTTTGGTGTTGCACTGGGAACCATGTCCTAACGGCCAGTCTACTGCGGGNTATATATATACTTTTATACATACATAAAAAAAATTTTTGATTTTGATTTTTTTTAAAATCATATTTCAGCTTTTTTTGTTGTTAATTACTGATTTAACCACATTATTTTCCATTGTAAAAGAAATCCAGCAAAGAAGATGCTCTTTTAGAGCAGCCCTTTTTGTTTTTAAATAAATCAACTGAACTGGATCAACGTAATTTTGGCGTTCCTAGCCAATTCATTGCAATATCTAATGAATTACATGACCCTATGAGAAGGTCCACTATCTTGAACTTGATCACCTACGTCTGTGGAGTTCCGATTTTCATTCAAAATTTCAGCAACAACATTATTTTTAATGGGATAATAAATGCGAGTTCAGTTTGCCCAACTTTATAAAGCAACTGAACATTACACAATTCTTAATAAAATGAAAAATAACTTACTAATGGCATTATTCCTCCTTCGAATTGAATGGATAATTTTGCGCACTTATTTGATACAATTGAGTTGAATGGTTGACAATGTGGCGGCGATAAATGATCCGATAAATACAGATGAATACTTTTTTCTGATAAACATTGACCCTTTATTAGGCAAGGAAGGGAAGAACAGAAATTTGGAACGCACGTTTGACCGGATGGACATTCATCAAAAGGATTTCGGGGATCGCACACTTTCTTTTCACAGGCAACCTAAAAACGGAAGTGATTTCATTAAATTGAAGACATTTCTTTAATAAAGTTGGATTTTCATTTTCTTTAAACGTTAAATAAAATTTCAGTACAAAACTTATGAGCACAATTATATTTAATAGAAGAAATTAAAAAAAAAACTCTCCATTGTAAAACAAATGTAACAAGAGTTAGAGTTATATTAAAATGTGTAACAGACAGGGTTGTAAAAATTAAATATGCAAAACAGCTACTGTTGCGCATTCGAGGTCATTCATCAATATTTAAGTGGAAAAAAAATCGAACTTTGACGAATCATTATCGTGGAAGATAAGACCAATAGGAAGACTGTAAAAAGCTGTTTAGTGGATGATTATTAAAAGTGGCTTAACATTACTCTGTATTGCTATGTAAATAAAATGCGTCTCTCCATTGCTCTGAATGACATACTTTTTTACTTCCACATCAAAAACGTATATTTTAGTCTGAGTAGTTTCATTTAAAAAAGTCTTAATGAATGATGGTTATTATGGACCGCCATGTTTAAGAGAGAAATAAAATATAGCCCCAATTTTGATTCATCTGGATGAATAATTTTAGATGGAAATGAAAGCAGTGTTGAGAACTAAAATTATAAATAAAATAAAAAAAAGTACTTTCCGGAATTTTAGTCGGAGCGTTCGGAATCGGAACAAATGTTTCAATCAAGTTTCTTATTAAAATGCTTAAAAAAACAACGAAATAATTTGACTCATTTAATTTGTAGACTGAGTCAGAAGTATTTTCTTTTAATTTAATTCTAGCGATGAATTTAAATGAAAGATTACATAGTAGTCATAGGATTTATTTAAAATAAATTTTAAAAAAAAAGTTGCCATTTAGTACCGTCGGAATCAAATTAATGTAAAACTAATTGTAATTAGCTAGGCTATGTTGTTGGTAACATGTGCATTTTTTGTTGTTGTATTTTTGAACGTTTAGATATTCTCCCTTTTATGAATTTTCCCCAATAAATGATTGTAGATATTTTCAATTTATACTTAATCAGGGAAGCGTTTAAGGAAGGTTTATCGAAATATTTGAAAACAAATAAATGATTAATTACCCTTGAACATATAACTTTTCCATATTGACAGAAACAGCTATTGCATTCGTATTGCCATTGGCTGCCTTCACTTTTAATTTCACCTTGAAACTCACACGATTTTTTCACTTCTGCAAAATAATTTATCTCTTCTAACTCTACAATAATAGGTTCATCATACACTGAAATTTATAACTCAGAATTTCATATTTATATAAATAACACTAATTTACATAAGAAATACTATTCAAAATAATTTTTCGATACAAATTCTAAAATACACTTAAGTGTATATAATTAAGAGAAAAATAATTGAAATTTGTTAATAAACAAATGTATCAATTTTGGCCTACTTAATTTTTGAAATCGTTACTTCTTAACAGTTAATTAAACAAGAATGTAAAAATAATTTGTTACTTACAAGGGAAACTAGGGAAGTGTGACTCGCCAATTTTGAAATAAACTATTGGGATGTATGCCTTATGAGGAATAATTTTAGGGGGAAACATTCGCTTCGGCCCATAGAAGGTCCTGTGAGAGATAAAAAATAATTTAATATATAGAAAAATCGGTATTTTATTACTTCAATGCAGACTATTAGTTATTGTACTTGTCTCATTATCCAATTAATTTGTAATTAATTGGATAATTAATTAATTTGCTAATTAATAAATTAATTAGAAAATTAATTAATTAATTGTTAATTAAATGTTGATTAATTTATTAATTAATTGATTTGCAATTACATACTCCAATTAATTTGGAAAGTTTCTTGAAAAAAATTTTTTTTTAAATTTTCTGTCATATTTTTTTTTAAAATTCACCTAACAGGTTTTTCTGAAAAACTACAGATATATAAAATTTTCGAAATCAATTTTGACAATAAATATGCATTATATAGTACGTGAAAGTACCACAAAATTAATTGGAGTATGAGACAATTACAATAACTAATAGTCTGCATTGAAGTAATAAAATACCGATTTTTCTATATATTGAATTATTTTTTATCTTTCACAGGACCTTCTATGAGCCGAAGCGAATGTTTTCCCCTAAAATTATTCCTCATAAGGCATACATCCCACTAGTTTATTTCAAAATTGGCGAGTCACACTTCCCTTGTTAGTTACTAAAATATTTTCACTGCAATCCGCAAAATTAATGAGTTGGAAAATGGTTATTTATAGAATTGCATTACACAGACTTTCTATTGCGTAATTTAAAATAATGCTTTGTTATGGATTGCAGTAGCAGCCAACTTTTTTATACAGTAAAACCTCGGTACAACAATAGACCAATAAATAGAGTGTTGTAGAGGAATATATCGAGGGTCTACATACTGTGGGGACACAATGTTATTATATTTATTAACTAAAAATGTTTTTATATATTATGCAAAAAATTTACTAGCAGAGTGTAAATTATGGTTAAATATTAAAAACAATTGAAATAAATTCAGAAAATAAGATCATACTATACCTGGAAACCGTTTTTATTCAAAATAATCTGATATTTTTGTTCATTTTTTTGACTTAACCAACAAAATATGCACGAAAATGAATTTAGTTTGTGAATGTTGCTCCACCCACCCTCTGCTGAAAAAACTTTCTTTCTCGGGTGATGCTGTTTTTTGTGACTTATGATGATTAAACATGAAGGAAATAAAATCAGAGAGATTCTAAAAATGAAAGCTCTTGAGGTGGTCAGTCTTCTTTTGTCAGAAAATAGAAAAAATCGTTTTACAGGGGTTCATTGTTTTAAGGAATATCGTAGTATTGAGAGGAGCGGGACATTAATTCAGTTCGTTGGGACCACGAAACATTATCGTAATAAAGGGAGTTATTGTTGTATTGGATATTGTAGTTCACCGTACTAGAGATGTTGCTTACCCACGTCACAGAGTTTACCAGTTTTGCCTGATGGACAAAGGCATCGGAAATCATTGATGCCGTCTTCACACGTCGATCCTCCTTGACATGGTGATGATGCACATTCATTAATGTTTATCCGACAATCAGGTCCCGTGAATCCAGATCTGCATTCACAGAGAAACCAATTGATACCATCGATGCAATGACCTCCATTGTAGCAGGCATTCGGTTTACAGTCATCCACATCTGTTAACATTTCTCCAATTAATTATTATGTAAATAACTCAAATATAATATAATTATTTCGATCGTAGTTAGATATTCTTTTAAAAAAATGAAATACGATACAGAGTTTAATGGAAAATTCAATATTAAATACTATATACTATACTATATATATGTTACGATGAACGACCGAAGTCTCGAAAATGTCGACATTCACCGGTGAATGTCAACATTCCCGTAGTCGCTTGGTGTATGTCCGAAATATTTGCTAAATACCCTTATTTCTGACTTTCACCCTACACTGATGTTATTTTAAGGTTAAGTGCCACTGCCCGGTATACATTAGCCCGGTATACCCTACACTGATGTTTTAAGGTCAAGTTCCATTGCCCGGTATATATTTGCCCGATACTCCAAACACTGATGTTTCTTCTAATCTATCGTCAGTAAGTATTAAAATACAGAATAAATATATCAAATAAATATAATAATATCAACGAATAAATTAATATAAAATTGAATATAACAAATATTTCGGACATTCACCAAAGCGACTATGTGATTGTTGACATACACCGGTGAGGGTCCGAATGNTATTATATATATATATATATATATATACATATAATAACAGGGCTACATCCCTGTTATCATTGTTGTATTCAGCTTTAATAATGCAGTCAAAAGCCATGATGCGTTATAAAAATGTTTATTTAAAATTAGGCTGGTGGTTATAACATTTCACATCCCCACTCCACAAGGGAGGGGGTGTGGACGAAACTCCGGATGGTTCCAGCAGATGTTTATTGGAACATGTTATTCAGCAAGAGACATGCGAAAACCATCGGTCCCGCATTAAACACTACAGAGAATGATGTAATTAGGTTCCAGTCATACATACCTTTGTAACTCTACGCATTATGGAAAATCGTTTAATGCTTCCTAATATGGAAGTGAAAAAGGGGCAAGATTCTAAAAATAACTCCGGCTTTGAAATATAAATCTAATTATTATTCTATGGTATGTTTTCAGCCTTGAATTCCCAAAATAGAATATCTCTACGCTTAAAAGACATTTTATGAAACCGAAAGAGTTTTAATTCTTTTATTAGTACAAAAGTATTTATTATTCTTGTATTACATATATATATATATATATATGTGTGTGTGTGGTATTGTAGAGGAACGAAAAGTTTTTTCAATGAATGAAATATTTAATAATAGAATGAATTTTACATATGTGATGAAATGTGAAAAGTTTATGAAAATGTTTATATGAAAGTTGAAAAATATGGGCCGTCTGCCCTGTTATCGTAAACAAGAGTATGGGCCGTTGATGTACACAGGTATATGGGCCGTCAGCCCCTTTTTCACAAACCCTTGCTGGGCCATGAAGTTAATCCTTCCAGCAACAAAACGAAAAGTGTGTCTCTCGATTCAAAAAGGAAACGCTGTGGAGCGGGGAAGGGGTGAGAGTTTTCCTCATCCTCCATATATATATAATGATAAAAAGAAAAGAGAGAAAAACGAAGAAAATTAATAAGTTTTATTATTCTTTATTTTGTTTTTTGGATTTTTAATATTTTTTTCTAGATAATTAAAAAAAAATTTTTTTTTTAAAAATACTTTTAATAATTTTCTTCTCTAGTCATTATTTTTGTTAACTATAGTATTGGCATAATGAAAAGACTTACTGTATTGGCATGTGGGTCCTTCATATCCATCTCTGCATATGCACACGAAACTGTTCTCACTGTTCACACACGTTCCTCCATTTTGACAAGGATTCGATTTGCAACTAGGATTTATACCTACACCAAATAAAAACAACAAATCGTGAAAAGAATTAAAAAAAAAAACATTTTAAATTTCAGTATGAGTAATGAAAGAGAGTCATACGAATGTGGCAAGAATGTCCTGTCCATCCATCTGCGCATGTGCAGTGAAATGTATCCCCTATGTCACGGCAACTACCACCATTATGACACGTTGTGAGATCACAGTGACTGTGTTCTAACCAAAAAAGAGAAATCAGATACAACATAGACATATTTTGAAAATAACTTTCAGATTGAATGAATAACACTGAATATTCATTCATAACTGTTTGGGTGTTATTCAATGCAGGGCCGGCTTCGCTGGGCCCTAAGCTACTGAAAATGATGGGGACCTCATAAGTTCAATTCAATTTTTATAAACCTAAAGTAAACTGTCATTGTTTTTTATTGTTGAGTATTAACATTATATTACAAAAAAATTAGATAATATTGCTTGATTGTTAAATATATTGATTGTGACGAGGCTATAATATAGAACCCTTCTTTTATTGCACACATTTTTTGAAGGAGGAAAAAAGTTACAATCGAAGCACATTTTAAGTACAGAGTAAAAATTTGGCATGCTGGATATGAATATTAAACAGATTTTTTTCTTTTTTTTTCTTCCGAAATTCTGAATATATGTCATTTGAAATTTTAAATGATTTTTTTTTTGCGAATTTTTTTCTAAATTATTTTTTCGTTACATTACATTTTGCTTTGCTGCTCAAAATTTATAAGACTTAGAAATATGAAATTATGAAGGTGTGTAGAAAATATGCAAGGAGTTTGAAAGAATACAAGAAAATACAATTTGATTATTAGTTATATTTTTTTTTTTCATAACAGCCATTGAACAACTGACTTAATTTTGAGTTTACGACTACCAATGTTTAACTCCGTAATTTTGAACCCAATCCAGAGGACAAGGGAACTCCTGGATCAGTACCAAGAGTTATTGATTTGTTATGAGAACTTGATGGACTTTGTGACCCTGACATATTTCACATGAAAGCATTTTGTACATAGGTATTCTTCTGCCGGCTGGATTCGAAACACAAATACGAGCCCAACACCCAACCAACCAGGCAATCCCGGCCAAATTATTACTTTATCTTACAACCGTCATTGAGAGCCGCGATGGTTCAGGGGATAGAGCATTCCGATGATGTGAACCGGGGTTCGATCCCGGTATGTCTATACGAATTCCGGCTTGCGCCGACCACAGTGCTGCCGTGAAACATCCTCAGTGGGTTAGAATCCCCTTGCCGTCAGACTAACCGTGGGAGGTTCACTCCACGTCATGCAAATGCGGGTTAGTTCCCTCAAAGAGTCCTCCACGACTTGATCCAGGTTGTGTTCTGGATTGGGTGTCAAAATGACAAGGCTACGGAGCTGTTCAACGACAGTTATAACTCTCTCATTATATTCTGGGAACCGATCAAGAAAGGCCATTTTCCTTTACAAAATATTCTGAAATTGAATTACTGTCCTGGCAATACAAAAGCTACAATTTAAAGATCCCCTCCGCAGAGGATCAAAATTGTGATGGCATGTCTTCGGATCATCCTCCGGGATGTTTCCCAGACCGTCGCCAATAGCCCATTGTGCAGCTCTAGTGCGACGTAAATTAACAACAGCAGCTACAATTTAAGGAAGCTAAAAACATTTTCCCAGAGTGCGAAGTGCTATTCGGTGGGTGGTAGATAGGAAAGCAGGGATATTTTCATCAGTCGAATGAGTGTTTTATTGCTCTTTTGGTTAGAAGAGTAACAATTAATTTTATCTTTGTGAACACTTCGATTAGATTTTGAAAAGCACCCGACAATGTAAAAACGAATTTTAAAAAAAATGTTTTTTTGGCATCAGAGGACCCCTGCTCCAAATAAAACTTAAAAAAAGAAGAAGAAAGTGGGATCTAGGGGGCCCCAAGTTATGCGTAAATCCAGCCTTGATTCAATGAATAACCACGTTTCTCAAACTGTTTTTATTATAGCACATTCCCTTCCTGTTTTTGAAACATTGCTTGCCATTTTCTTTCCTTTAAGGTGCTTTTTTCATGTTTTTACAAAGTGCTTCACTTTCCCTTTTCGAAAATGAGTTTTTTTTTCTTTACCCTGTCGATTTTTGCCACGTATTATGCAAGAGCGGGATTTTCCCATTGTTCTATTCAACATTTTCACAATTCATTTAACAGCTATCTATTTCGGTGCATGAAAGCGTCCATCATTTTACATGTTTGATGATGTCTACTGTGCTGAGATTCTCTCATGTGCAACTCTACTGCATTCTCTAAGATCCATTCCACCCTCTGAAATCGAACCTCAAAATCTCTCGATCATTCTGAATGGCTATATAATCAAGTAAAGAGTTCTTTGTCAGAAACTAGTTATTTTCATCATGATCATGTAAAGTCTGAAAATTATTTTGCATTTTGTCGATGTATATAGTGCTTAAAAATATTTTTGAGTGCTTAAAAAGTACTAAAAAGGTGTTTATTTTGTTGTTGAAAGATTTGACTCTGTAGTGGTTCTAAAAGTAAAAATTCCCTACTATAAATGAGTTTTGAAGCTTTCAACTACGGAACATTATTGGAACACTGTTTTTACTTGTATTAACCGACAAGAACATTTTCAAGATATCTCATGTGAGGAATTCATTTTTTTTTTATCCAAAAATAATCTTAAAATTAAGATAGACTATTATTGTCTGACAGTTGGATTCACAGGTGCATTTAGAGTAGTTCTGAGTTTGTTTTTGGAATATGCGCTAACTGAAGATGAATAAGAAAAAATGATTGGTTCATTGATTGGCAGAAAAGCCAGATATGGCTTTACTGCGCCAGCCACTTGCTTTCTTTTTAAAGCAGTGAATAGTTGTTCTGACAAAGATCACCCAGCAAGTATTTAAGATGAAGGTTGTCAAAGAATTTGTTCCAGTTGGTTAAAACATGCTTAATAGTTATGCAGACTCGCCGGCCAGGTGGCCGAGCGGTCAGCGTGCCTGACTGTGAAGCTAATGGTTGCGGGTTCGAATCCCGCTCAGGGCATGGATGTTTCTCTCTGTGTGTGTTCTCTATTGCGTGATGCGTGAGTGTGGCCCACCCTATAAACGGGTATGTGGCGTGGGTAATGTTGCTCGCCTCCGTGACTTAGGTTCACAGGTGCCCACTGGGTAACGTTCAATGAGTAACACCTCCGGCATCTTCCAAGGCGAAGAACGAAAGTTCAGTGCCTGCCGTTAAAAATAATAATAATTATGCAGACACGACAGAGAGAACTTGGGTTTTGACTTCATCTCTAACTAATTGTTTAGATTTTACCCAGAAACAATCAAGACAGTTCTTGGAAGAAATAATATTAATTATAAGAATTATAGCAATAGTAATAATTGGAAGAAATATGTTTGCGGAAAATGTACAATGGAAGCACCCTGTACATGTAGGAAATGCGTTGAGAAATGAATTCAAAATTCTTATTTTTTGTGTTTGTAATACAAAAAAATTGTCAATACACAATTTTGTTTAATGATAATAAAGTTTAGTTTATTTCATTCCTAACATCCATATTTTATGCATTCAATGAAGAAGCATAAAGCCCGGTCATTTGACCACCTACGGTAGGTATTATATTAAGTGTTGGTATGTTTAGTGTTAAGCGAAATGTGCATATTCTTACTCAAATGGCATGTTTTTCCTTTCCATTCCTGCTTGCATTCACACCAGAATCCTGCTTCTGCATCGATGCATGTTCCATTATTCAGACACGGGCTCGAATCACATTCATTTTTATCTGAAATGTAGGCACACCATTTATTTTTAAAAAAAATATTTAGTTTTTTATAAAAAGCTGCACAAATATTCAATCAAATGATTTCGATTGCAGAATTTTAAAATGATTTATTTTGATTTTTGTGCTTCAGACAATTTTAATCGATTATTATTAACCATGATTATCCCGAGTTAACTCGGGTACGTATAGATTGCAAATATGCATCATCCCGAGAAAACTCGGGCTTAGCAGAAAGTGTCAGGTTTTATGACGTTTTTACTCGGTCAGAAGGAAAAAACATAATCTGCTGTGAATTGCCAAGTTTTATTTGGGAGTTTTGCTGTTGGACTGTGTTTTGTGCTATTTGTATATACGATGGTTGCTGAATTTACATCGCAATAAGTGTACAAAAAAATGACGTATTCCTTCACTGACGTTTTAAAAATATCACTTTGTGTTGTTTTAAGAACTATCATACAAAGACTGATATTTAACTTTTTTTCATTTGCCCGAGATAGTAAACCTGATGTTAAATTAAATGTTTCTTACAGATAAAATGTCAACTTAAAACTTGTGTATTATGTTTCAGTTCCTTTGTATTTATTAATGAAATAGGTTGATTTTTTGCATTTTTTTTCCCTTTAAAAAAAATTGTTAAGGGAAGTGGGTAATACGAAGAAGCTGGTTTGAGGCTGCTTTTATTCACTTAAATAAACATAACGATCCTTTGAGTTATGCATAAATGATATAAATTTATCAGATGATTTCTTCAATCAAGGTGTCCCGCAGTGGACTGATCGTTAAGACACGGTTTCCAGTAGATCACCGAAGTCAAGCATCACTGGCTGCGGTCAGTGTGCGGGTGGGTGACCCACTTGGATCAGTCTGCGTAGGGTTCTCGTTAAGCTGTGCTACCGTAAAGTGCTCGACCTCGCGCGCAGGTCGTCGGGCTACCGAAGCGGGGGATGGCATCCCCTCCGCAGAGGATCAAAATGGTGATGACATGTCTTCGGATCATCCTCCGGGATGTTTCCCAGACTGTCGCCAATAGCCCATTGTGCAGCTCTAGTGCGACGTAAATTAACTTCAATCAAGGTGTGTTTTACATTTATTGTTTCATAATGTGAATAAACGAGGGAATGTCGGGTGAATGCCAACAATCACATTGCCCGAAATATTTATTATATTCGATTTGATATTAATTTATTGGATATATCTGCTGAGGATGGATTAGGAGAAACACCATCAGAGTTTAGTGCATACCTTAAAAAAACATTAACGGTTTCACTGAGGCACTTAACTGCAGTTCCATATTATGAGACGCACTCTAAGATTCTATGTAAAAATCTTAAATGATCAGGTGATGATACAGCTTCATTGTTTTTATGTGACTGTCTGCACTTGTTTACGTTACGTGTATCAATGGGTTAACATTAAAACATAATGCAAACAGGAAGTCAATAAAAACCCATGACACGATTGTTTAACTAGAAAGGATTGCCTATAAGCTCGTGCAAATCATGTCATTATTGAAACTGTGCGTCTTATAATTTGGCTCAATTATAGTGTAATATGCCAAATACCTGATGTAATAAATATTCTATATTTATATAATGCATCGTCTCATTTAACTGATGGTTACACTAACGTTAACAAGTGCAAATCGCGTAAAAACAGACGTATCACGTGATAATTTGCATTTAACATAGACGGTGGGTCTAATAATATGGCCGTATATATATTTCGGACACTGTCAACATTCACCGTTGGACCGCTCACAGTAACATCAAAGAAGGACATTCTCTAAATCAAATAATTTCGGTCGAAATGAATGTTCTATATGTTTGTTAATAATAAAGACTTACCAACATTGCATGTCATTCCTTCCCATCCGTCTGGACAGATGCAATAATAAGAATTTATTCCATCCATGCAAGTTCCACCATTTCGACAGGGATGAGATGCACAATCATTGATGTCTGCAACACAGATTGGTCCTCAAATTACATATTATTCTTTTATTTTTCGTTTTCTCAAATATATATATATATTTATTTATTTTAGATTTGGGTATTATAAAGGTGGAAAATATCTGCTTTGTTGATTTATACGATAAAAGAAATGATTTTAATATTAATAAACTAATTAATTACTTGGAATTCTAATGTTTCTAGGAGCATCTATTTAAATACCACTTTTAATGAAATGAACAGAATTCAAAGAATATGTAGTAATATTTATTTATCCAAAAGACAAATTGATAAACTCTTTCAAAATTTGATAAAAAAACAATGGATACCCAACTACAGTAATAAAATTTTATATAAAATCATTGAATGAATCGTATATTTTTGTGGATATATTTACTAAACATTTTCTTTGTTCATTTATATAATTTTAACATGTGCAAATCCATTTCGGGTAAATCCGTTGCCAAAATTATTTACTAAGTAATTTCTTTGTTAATTTGTATAATTTTTTCATGTGCAAATCCATGGTTAAAATTATTTACTAAAAAATTCCTTTACTAAAAATTTTCCTTTGTTTATCTATATAGTTTTTCCATGTACAAATCCATTGCGGGCCAATCCGTGGCTAAAATTATCTACTAAAAATTTCTTTATTAATTTGTAAAATTTTTCCATGTACAAATCCATAACGGGCAAATCCGTGGGTAAAATTATTTACTAAAAATTTCTTTATTAATTTTTATAATTTTTCCATGTACGAATCCATTTCGGGCAAATCCGTGGGTAAAATTATTTACTGAAAATTTCTTTATTAATTTTTCCATGTGCAAATCCATTTCGGGCAAATCCGTGGCTGAAATTATTTGCAAAGCAGGCAATTTATGTTTATTTTATCTATTTTTATATTTTTTCTTAAATAAATATCTATTTTCTAAAATTATTTATGGTCAACTTTTTTAAATTATCCAATATAATATTACCTTGCGCACATCCATTTCGGGCCTATCCTTGGTTTACTAACAAATCAATGCACAGCATAACAAATCACTTCAGCAATGCAGTAAGAACGGCACTTTAAAATAAAACCCCTCAAGTTACACTCAATTTGCGCTTTTGTTTTCATATTTTGTAATCTGGCAATCTTGTTGCGAAAACATTTTTTTATCTTTCCTGAAAAATTTCCCGTTCATGAGAGTACATCTGATTTCGCTACTCGCTTTATAATTTTGTTTTATACTGTTTTTTCTTTTATTTTATTTTCAGTTTTTACGTGTTACTTTTACTTATTGTGTTCTATTTTATTTGTTGTACTTTTTGTAAAAAAATTTTCTGAGTGTTCCTCCCACTATTGTATTAATATATTTTGCTTTGGCTATATTGATACAATATCAGAAAGTGTGGGCTGATGAAAAGATTATATCTATTTTGCCGGTTTTTTTAAAAAAAAATTTCATCCTTTTTTTTTATTTTTTAAATCAGTTGCTTGTTATTTTTCTTAATTATTATTTCCCCCCCTCTTTCATATGTCTATAATTTTCCTTTCTTTTATCTTCATTTTGAACTTTATATAATTTTATATACATTTTATGGTCAGAAGCAAAAAAAATAATCTGCTGTGAATTGCCAAGTTTTATTTGGGAGTTTTGCTGTTGGACTGTGTTTTGTGCTATTGTATATACGATGGTTGCTGAATTTGCATCGCAATAAGAGTACAAAAAAAAAATGGCGTATTCCTTCACTGACGTTTTAAAAATATCACTTTGTGTTGTTTTAAGAACTATCATACAAAGACTGATATTTAACTTTTTTTCATTTGCCCGAGATAGTAAACCTGATGTTAAATTAAATGTTTCTTACAGATAAAATGTCAACTTAAAACTTGTGTATTATGTTTCAGTTCCTTTGTATTTATTAATGAAATAGGTTGATTTTTTGCATTTTTTTTCCCTTTAAAAAAAATTGTTAAGGGAAGTGGGTAATACGAAGAAGCTGGTTTGAGGCTGCTTTTATTCACTTAAATAAACATAACGATCCTTTGAGTTATGCATAAATGATATAAATTTATCAGATGATTTCTTCAATCAAGGTGTCCCGCAGTGGACTGATCGTTAAGACACGGTTTCCAGTAGATCACCGAAGTCAAGCATCACTGGCTGCGGTCAGTGTGCGGGTGGGTGACCCACTTGGATCAGTCTGCGTAGGGTTCTCGTTAAGCTGTGCTACCGTAAAGTGCTCGACCTCGCGCGCAGGTCGTCGGGCTACCGAAGCGGGGGATGGCATCCCCTCCGCAGAGGATCAAAATGGTGATGACATGTCTTCGGATCATCCTCCGGGATGTTTCCCAGACTGTCGCCAATAGCCCATTGTGCAGCTCTAGTGCGACGTAAATTAACTTCAATCAAGGTGTGTTTTACATTTATTGTTTCANTTTTTCATATATATACAGGGTTATTCATAATTCCCTCCGGGCAGGAACTGGACTATCGCATTGATGTATGCCGTGTGACCAAGGGTTTCACACAAAGAACACCTGTAATGTAAAACTTGAATAATTTCATATGTTTCTTTTTTACCATAACGCTCTTTGATACCCCGGAGGGAGTAATGAATAACCCTGTATATATGAACAATCGCGGCAATAAAAAGTAAGTAAGACAATAAAAAATTTCCCATTGAAAAAATGACCTAAATAATGAAACTTTTATTTTACTTAAATAGAAATTCATTTAAAAAAATAGACGGAATGTAGGAAAAGTTAACTTATTACTGCTAAGGATTATCAATCTTTATTTTAACTTCATAGTTACTTACTTTCGTGACAATAACGACCCGTAAATCCAGGATCACAAACGCAGCTAAAATCTGAAAATGGTTCGCTTATGCATTTTCCATGCTCACCGCAAACGTTGCTCCTCACAAAATGCGAACCACCTGTTGAATTGATAGACGCTAAACAGCTGTCAATTCCTAAAACAAAGATATTTTTTTAAAAATTTTCTCGATGCTACATCACAATAGTGTTTCGACAATATTTTAAGTGAAATAAATTTTAACAAATTAGCAATTGTAAATTTCATTTTTGATTTAGAATGACGAAAAAGAATTGTGATGAATTGTATATATATGTTACGGGCACACACACAGAGTGATTATAATTAAAGTTACGATTTCAGAAATCGATCATTTTAAAGCTACTCATTAGAATAACCTGATATTCTAGCAGAACAATCGGGAGACAACGGAACTTTATTTGGGGGAGGTAAAAAGAATATTTGCAAAAATTTGCCGACAGATGGCAGTTTCATAGAAATGTGAAGGAAAAGACTGAAAATGTATTCCTTACACACACAGGAATGTTGTTAGCCAAAAGGAAACAATAGAGTTCAGGAGTTTATTAAAAATTAGCGAAGAAACCAAGAATACGTGTGTACAGCGAGAACAGTGATAATGCCAAAAAGAAGAAGACTTTCATGGATCAAACATCTTACTGATTTTTAAGGCATAAGTTGTTCGATGTGCCTTGTTCCGCTACTGATTGGCAGACCGCGAAAGGGCGTGCTCCGCAACAGATCAGAGGGAATCTGTACTGATGCAATGGCTAAGGGTGTGTGATGCTTGCCTTCAAGTCTGCCGGATTCTCAATCCACCCACTGTAGACAACCTTCTATCTACAGCTACCCCCAAAACCAGAAATCACACTGGTTTAAGTCGGATTAACATGGCGGTACCGGGCGAGCACTCAGCAGCTGCTTTACAGGAGTAGAAATGTGTGGGGAAGCTCCATTTATTGCGTAGTGCCGTTAGGACACGCAAAAGTGCTCCCTAACGCTTGCCAGTAACGGAGCTGGTAACAGATCTCCTCGAAGGAACAACGATAAAAACTGCCGCACCAGACAGAGGCTGTAGCTGGGACGGATTATTTACAGAGTCTTGCAATTGTCAGACCCCAGAAGATTCTCTTCGTTGTCAACTTCCAGCAACTGCTGCACATCTTGTTAGGGTGCTTCCAGCTTAAGATGTTCCATAAGACTTTTCGCACCGTTGTGATCTGCATGTGCCCTGCTGATTTCACTGTTCGTTTGATCTTGTAATGCCACATCTTCTACTGCCAAAACTAGATTTCTTCCTCTACCCCCTTTCACGTCCAATCTCTTCGACTTTAGCAATCATTTTTGTCAGACCATTTGTGAACCCGATTTTATGGATGTCCGAAACTTCCTAAAGTGAACACTCGTCGTTCTTGTAGAAAAACTTCCAAGAGCAAATCCTTCATAGTTAGAGTCAAAGAGCTCTGCATTTTTATAGGAGAGTGATATGCATATCTCCAGACAATGTGAATCCTGAATAACGCCATCTATCGACAGATTTTTAAGCTACATTGTTTCCTTCGTCAAACAGAATTCCATTGCTTCACAGTTGTTCTGCTTTATTTTGGTTACCAAATGAAATAAAAAAGAAACGACGCACTCTATAAATCAAAATTAATTTCGGCTAATTAGCACTCATTTTGTTGTGGTAATGGGTGCAGTTTCAATAGGTGCTAAAGATAATGACATAAGATATTATATTAGCACATTGGTAACTATTAACACTACATCAATACAGGGAATATAGTTATTGTAGTTTTTCATGGGCCCTCAAAAGAAATAAGCCAATGAGAAAATCAGTTGATTGAATCAGTTGACCTCGAGTAACAGAATCACGTCAAAGATACTGAATACAGTTAATATTTTTTTCAAAATGAGATAAACTTGTTTCGCTTAATCTAATAATGTAAAGCCACCTGAAAGGGCAAATTATAATAATAAATAAAAAATATTGGAATTCATTTAGCTTCATTCAGTGTGTGTTTTGTGCATGATTTTGTTGTGTTGTACAGTATGAAGAACGGGTATTCAGTTTGTATATAAAACCCTTGTCATAAAATCTGTGACTTTCAACAAGAAACATTGCTGTCATTATGGCTATTAAAACCTGTTTGTTTGTGGGAGGCAATTATTAAAAGGTTTCGACTGGTTTTAATCCCGCTTTCTCCAATAGGGGTTTGCGATAACGTTTTTTTTTTAATATTTTTTTTTTTTTACCATTTTATGTCAAGGGTAGTCATGACATGTACATAAATAACAAAAGATACCTTCAGTATAAGAACAATTCTTTCCAAAATATGTATCTGGACAATGGCAATAATAATCTGTATTCATGTTGAAACAGGAAGCACCATTTTGGCAAGGATCGGGATTGCAAAGATCCACGTCCACCTGAAGAGAAGAAAAACAATATTTTATTTTGCAGAATCATGTTTGACAGTTGTTTTATTAGCCCCTCCCCCCCATGATGGAACTGAGCATGTTTGCTTTCAATTTAGATGCTACGTTATGTTGGCGTGATTCACGCTACAAAGCACGCTGTTTATAGCTGTTAAATGTTGTTTCCTGTTTAAACCTATAGTGTATCTACCACTACAAAAATACAATTACCTAGTATATAAGACATGTTGACTCGATTCTATGTTGGGGGTACCCTTTCACAGATGAAGGATAACTACGCTTCCCACAAACCTACCTTCGAACCATGGAATGCGAATTTGAGGAAAGGTATTCATTAAATGAATCGTGTCATCTTACAACCATTCAATAAAGATATAATTTTGTTGGTTTTTGTTTAACATTATGGTTGTCTATTTGCACTATAGTTCCATAAGAAACTTGATATATTTTCGCTAATTTAAAATTACTTTTATTTTAACTATACAATTTAGTTAAAAGAAATTAAATAATCAAACGGAGTTTCAATAACATCTTTTTTAAGTAATAATAAGCCGCATTCTTTACCGCTGAATTCATCAAAGTCTATAATCTACAATTTTCTGCTCGCAGAGCCGCAGTTTTACGTAGAGTAAAAGCATTTTGAATCGTATGCGTTGTAGAAATAGTCTACATTTATTGTAAATGTTTGTTTTGTGGTTTTTTTAAAAAATGATATTCCATTACACGAGCGATTTTAACTTACGGATTTTTCGCAAAACCTCTTATTTTCACTTACTTCAGTTTGATATCTTTTCTCTAGATGGGCACTTAAAATCTTACCTACGGAAGGTAACGTAAATTTGAAAAATCTCCCTATTAACTTTGACTCTTGCGTCTTATAGTATTGTAAATATTCAGAGCAAAATAAATGTGATAAATTTGTCAAGAATTTGTCTGAATTTCAGAAAGCAATAATTTTTTTAAATTGAAGAAAATCTTATAAATCTTTCTTGCTCATGAAGAGACAGCTCAAACAATAGGTAAGCAAAGAAGAAGTTAAAAAGGGGTAACTTACGCAGAAGAAATAGAAGTGGTGACCTAAGTTTGAATCTCAGTGATGGCTCATCCGCACTCCTCCCATGTCCACTATGCTTGACATAAAATATCTTAGACAGAGTTCGAATCCCCTTGAGAGATTTTAGCGATTTTCCTTTCTATGTAACGGAGTTCGAACGAAAAGGTCCTTCACAAAGGGTCCAATGCTTGTTTTTATTTTATAACCGTCGTTGAACAGCCGACCCAATTTTGGGTTGACGACTACTTATGTTAAACTTTGTAGTCTTGTATTTTTGAATCCAATGCAGAAGACAAGAAAAGTCCTGAATCAGTAACCCCAGAGGTATTGATTTGCCATGGGAATATGGAGGACTTTGTAACGTGCACCAGTCACCCTTTACTATACAGAGAAAATAACAAAGCTACCGAACTGAATGTTGATAGTCGTGCAACCCAAAAATGCTGATCCACGCCGGTAATAAAATTAAATACTTACGCAAAATTGTTTGGAGATGCGTCTTGGATTATTACCAAAATGAAGGTTAGACTGTATTTGAGGGTTCCCCTTGATTCTCGCCAAGTTGTGATCGTGGTTGATTGCCAGGCAGGGCGTGCTGTTTTATGTATGGGAACGTCTATACTTTTTTTTTCTTCGGAAACCCAATCGTGATTCTTATTGGTCCAGATGAAATTCGTGATTCTTGAATGTTCAACGGTATGTAATTTCAGAGGTCAGTTAGTTATACGTTGGATGTCGGCTGTTAAGGTTAATTTTACTTTTGACTCTTAAGATAAATCTTAAGTTTGAATAACAATGAAAAACAGTAATTGACTGGGGTATGAATGAAAGTTTTATTGGATTTAATAATTTTGCGCTCATTGTTTCCGTTGCAATTTAATTTTAGCCGATGTTTTAGTGAAATTTCATTATGTTTTGGCCGCCATTCCTGTTTGCACGGTGTTCCGCGCGAACAGGAATAGCACCCAACAAAGAAGGCAATTTCGCCAAGGGGGCAGCCTCAAATATATTTTTACTCCAAAATGGATCTGTTGTTTCATTAATGAACTTCTATCTAAGGTAAGACGATATTTTTTCTTTACCTATGCATATTAGATAACACGTATTTCCACGTTTACGTTATTTTCTCTTTTCATTTTGATGAAAAATGCTGTTTATTCGGATTATAGTTTTTTTCCTTTCTAATTATAGTTTTTTCGGATTACAGGTTTTGTTTTTTTTAGTTTTAATTGTATTTTGTTTTTGGTTCTATTTTATTTTTCAAGGCATTGCACGTAAACACAATTGGCGTCAAAAAATGTGGTACTTCTCACCTAGGAGCACCTTAGGCGAGAATTTTTTTTTCCATTCACGGATTTAACACATCCATTCTCTTTATCAAAAATACATTAGTAAAACAATAATAAACTATTAATTGGAGGTAAAAACTTCAACGAATTCTTTAAGAATACAGTCCCTGATGGCCATATTATTAGACCCACTCTAAGATTCTATCTAAAATATTAATTATCTGGTGATAGTGTTTCAACACTTCTTTACCTTCGTGCATCAATAGGTAAAATGAGATGACATATAATGTAAATTCAATGATTGGAATACATGAGACGATATATTATATAGAATATTTATTACACCAGGTATTATATTATGTAATAATTAGACCCCACTGTGCTTTTTGAATAATGACATGTTTTGCACGCGTTTATAGGCAACACTTAAACATACATTTCATTCAAGANTATCAATGGGTTAAATGAGATGATATATAATATAAATTATTGGATACATGAGACGATATATTATATAGAATATTTATTACACCAGGTATTATATTATGTAATAATTAGACCCCACTGTGCTTTTTGAATAATGACATGTTTTGCACGCGTTTATAGGCAACACTTAAACATACATGTCATTCAAGAGATTTCCTAATTTGTATTTATTTATTGCAATGTTCACACCCATGTGATACAAGAGAGTAAACAAATGCAAACAATAAATCACCTGAACATCTAACAATGTGACTATCTTAAAGAGTGAAGAAGGTATGCAATTTGTGTAAATAACAGAGCCTACCTCGCATCGTATTCCTTTGTATCCAACTGGACAAATGCAACGAAAACCGAAAATCAAGTCCACACATTCTCCACCATTGGTGCAAGGGTTGCTGGCACATTCATTGATGTTGGTCTGACAATCCCTGCCGGTGAATCCTGGAAGGCAAGCACAGTGGTAATCGTTGACCAAATCGATGCATGTTGCACCATTCTGGCAGTGTCCGATGCAATCGTCTATGTTGAGGGTGCAATTCTTTCCTTCCCATCCCTCTCGACACAGACATTCGTATGAACCATCGTGATTTTCACATCTCACTGCATTCACACACGGCTCTTCCTCACACTCGTCACTATCTGCAAGAAATATTAGGGGAAATACATTACAAATACTTTTTAAGCTTTTTTCTCCCCCCAACCCATTGGCAAAATGGATACACACGTTTCAACTGCGTTCAAGAGAGCAGTGTGCGCGCGTTGCTATGGCGACCACTGATGTTTTTTTCTTCATTTTCACTAGCAGGCATTTTTAATGTATTTACATAATAATAATTTATTTTTATATTCATTTTTATTATGAACGTATAATGTCTGGCTTTAATATAAATATGAATGCTGAAGAAGGAAAAGTATTTCGCGAAACATAGGGGAAGGATATGAAAATCAACCCATGAAATGGTTTAACGGAGTCTTCATTCGTATGAACACAATCTATATTTCGCAAATCCATGACTTTATAGTACGGAATTCAGCTAAATGTTCGCAATGACGATGGACACATTTGGCCAATCAAATGCCTGTATTTTTACATAATGCAAAAGGCGATATTATACAAAAATACAGGTTTCTGATGGGTTAACTGTTTGTCTAAGATAGGTACTCTGACCGCCACTAAGTCTGCGGCAGTCTGGTGCTATGGAAACAAGAAGAGGGCATTTTAGGGAGGGTAGCTTCGATGAAGAGGTCTCCTTTTCTCTCGCCGAAACCAGTCCTAAAAAGAAATCCCGCACCCCTACTTGAAATAATCATACCTCGTTTCCATAGTCACCGCCACAGCTCCAGACGAATGTCTGGCAGAGTACCTATCTTAGAGAAACAGTAAGTGAGCCATCGTCATTGCGTAAATTTGGCCCTGATGTCAGCAAGGATATGAATTTTTCGCTGGTTGATGACAAAGTTAGCAATCAGAAAACTGCATTTGGCATGATGGACATAGAATTATCATAAAATCAATAAAATAAAATGAACAGAATGATATTTCGTCTGACCATTGGGGGACGCGCGACTTTATAGCTATTTTAGATTCTAGTCAATTTTTTTGTTATCTACAATGAGGTGAAAAATTTAAATACCTCAAAATTAAGTACTTTTAAATTCCTCCATATTAAATACCTTCATTACTGAAGTAGTGGGGCCCCCAAAGGAGCTTCTTACCCCGGGCCCCAACTTGTCGGGCCCTGGCAGAGATTACCAAACTGGATGATGCACCTTACTTTGAGCTACCAACCAAAAGAACTATCTTCTTACATCTAAATTTACATTTATTGCATTTGGTTTATCAGCTCAGTAAATCAACCAGAGCGATCTGCTTAAAAGGTGACCTTTTTACATCCAGGAATAGGTGGGTAGGCGATCCCTGGCGTAAGCAGAGACATTAAAGGCCAATCGTTAGGCCCGATGGATGTTCGATCGGTGTTCGATAGGCCCGATGGAGAAAGTTCATTGAGATGGCCCTGGCTGGCTGTACTGCATTTTAAAAAAATAATTTCATTTTCTCCCATGGAGCCGGGATGACTCAGGGGATAGAGCATTCGCCTTCCAAAGAGGTGAATAGGGTTCGAATTCCTTCGATGACTGGTCGAATCGAATCCGCATGTCGGTGCAGACAATAGTGCTGACGTGAAGTATCCACAGTGGTAGACAGATCATTGGTTGGAATCTCTTTGCCGTAAGGCTAACCGTGGGAGGTTCTCGTGGTCTTCCTCTCCATGTAACGCAAATGCTGATTAGTTTCATCAAAAAGTCCTCCACGAAGGCCAATTTCTCTCAATACTTGATCCCTTGTCTTCTGGATTGAATTCAAAATGACAAGGCTAGGGAGTTGAACATGAGTAGTATTAAACCCAAACGTTGGGTCGACTGCTCAAAGATGGTTATACTATTAAGATACGTGAGTAGGCCGGGATAGCCAGGTGGGTAGGGCCCATGTCTAAGAGTTCGTGGGTTCGATCCCAGATCAGCCAAAGACTCCTCGTGTAGTAAATGGGGACTGATGAGCGTTAAATCTGTCGAGTCGCAAAGTCCTCCATGTTCCCGTAACAAATGAATACCTCTGGGGGTACTGATCCAGGAGTTTCCTTGTCTTCTGGATTGGGTTCAAAATGTAAAGGCTACGGAGTAGAGCATGAGTAGACCCTAAATTGGATGAATGACGGTAATATAATATAAATGAAAAATTACCTTTTTGACAAGTGGCGCCCTCCCATCCAGGAGAACAGAGACAACGATAACCATCCACGAGATCAATGCAAGTACCTCCATTTAAACATGAAGAAGCATCACATTCATTGATATCTAAAAACACAAAATCTATATATATATTTCTCTTACACGGCGATAAAAAAGAATCTCATTACAACTCCCTGAATGGCAACGCTAGAAAATCGACCAATCATTGCAGCTAAAAATGTCACATGCCAAATCTAGCTGTGGTGACTCAACATATAGCGCTTTTAAAAACGGAAACGGAAATAACCAGAGTGTAAAATATTATGTGCTTATGCGCATCGTATTTTTTGTTAAATAATTTATTTATTATAGTATATTAGTTTATAGATGGTAACGAGAAGAGTTTCGTGGTTGCTATGGTGACTATTTAGAATGTAAATTGTTTTTTTTTTTTTTTTTTGATTGAGTGAGAGATTTGTTTTTTGGAACTGCGATGCTGTAATTTTACTGTTTTGTTAATAAGTCTTCCTTTTATATTAAACGTGATAGTAGTTTCCTTAATTATTTGATTCGAAGTCTTTTGAGTTTTATTTGAGGTCAGTTTATTTTGTATTTTCTGACAAGAGAGAGCATTCTCACCAAATGTGATTTCTTCCGAAATTCAATGTTTTGTTTACGCAGGTTTTTCCATTGCTTATTTCAATTTTTAATAGATTTAATTATAGCCAAAATTTAAACCTTTTTAAAGAAATATCAGTTTTAGAAATTTTATCTTAAGATTTTATACTATAGCACATTTCTANTAAGAAACAAAAAATTAGATAGTGTACAAATTATAAAAAATTATCTTGAATTAAAAAGTAATGTTCTTAAAAAAACATGTAAAAAATGATTAAACAACTGGAAAAGAGTCTACAAAATGCTCCCTAAAAAAACCTTAATGAATGGCGTAGAAAAGAAATAACAACCAAAAATGCAGAAAAAAAAAATTTATTCGCTAGCAAAATGACTCTCCATTCATAAAAAATCATCACTCAAAATTCATAAAAAAATTATTATTAAAAGAAAAAAAGCTAACACATGGCAAAAAAAATTAAATAATGGCATAGAAAAGAAAGAAATAGATGTAAAAAACGCAAAGAAAAATAATCCGATTTCAAAACGCTTTTAAAATGAAAAGTATCACTCAGAATTAATAAAAAAAAAATGATTAAAAAAAAGGGTAGAGTGTTAAAAAAATGTAAAACAAAATTTTAAATAATAGTGTAGAAAGAAATTTAACAAAAAATATTAAAAAAATAATAACTTCCAAGCAAAATGCTTTTGATATGAAAAATATCACTCTAAATTCTTAAAAAATGACTAAAAAATGGGACAAGAGTGTAAAATATGACCAAAAAAAAAAAAAAAAAAAAAAAAAAAAAAAAAAAAAAAAANAAAAAAAAAAAAAAAGAAAAAAAAAAGAAACTTGAATAATTACATGGAAAAGAAAAAAACAACCAAAAATATAAGAAAAATGCGAAAAAAAGTAATTCAAAAATATACCTTCAACATGACAATTATCACTCAAAATTCATAAAAAAAATGATTGAAAATTTAGGAAATGACAAAAAAAGACTATTAAATAATTACATAGAAAAGAAAAACAAGCAACAAGAAAAAGTTATTTCTAACAACGCTTTTTAGATGAAAAATATCACTCAAAGTCAAAAAATGATTAAAAAAAGTTAAGAAAATGACAAATTTAACCTTAAATAATGGCAAATGAAGAAAAAAAAAACGAATACATAAAAATTCGAAAAAAGAATGCATTTATCATCAATATCCTATCACTAGCAATAAGTTATTCTTTTGAGGCAAAATAAAAATTTGCATTAATAGGTTTCTTATAAAAAATATTTAATATCTGTCTCTTAAAAAATACAAAAAATATCAGGTATTTTAATTGTTTGTCAAAAAGAGATACTCTTCCATAAAAATATTTTTGGTTGAAATAATAACACGTTTGAATTTCAATTATATAGAAATACATAACAAACTATTACCTATTTCACAGTTAGTTCCGGAAAAACCTTGAGAGCACGTGCACCGGTACGCATCCGGAGCTATATTTTCACATAATCCAGAATTTTGACAAGGATGATGATTTCCACAATAATTCAAATCTAAATAAATACACAAAAAATAACTTCACATTTCATTCCATACAATTAAACTTAAGAAAAGAACTAATCGTTCATTTTATCATAACGTTGACTTACAATAAATCTGTGGGGATCAGTAGTTATCGGTCAACCTTCATCTATGAAAATGAATCGAGTTAGCACGTCTAATATACTAGTGAATTGGAATTATATTTTTGCAGTAGTAGATACACTACAGATCTTATGGAATTTAATTTTATTTCATAACCGATGATGAACAGTATTTTTAGGTTTATGACTATCAGTGCTTAACTCCGTAGCCTTGTCAATTTAAATGATCCCACAAGACTCTTGAATCGTTCCAATCGCCTCGGTAACTGTCGAACATTGAAAAAAGATTTTGGGGCAAAAAGAGCAAGCGACTAAGCACCTCTTAGTGGAGGAGGGTGTTAAAATGCACTGTTTATCATAAATTAAGGAAAAATAGCGATAAAACTCTCCCCGAAGTTAGACAATCAAAGTGAAATTTGATATATGCTGTTAAATAAGAGTTACAACGTTAGGGGCGCTGCAATGAATGACGTCATTTGTCATGAGCATAAAATTGTATGCTTGATCGTAAGCCTGCAAATTTTGCTGTGTCTGAAATTAGAACTTTGAGATATCTCATTCGTGACCCGAAATGGAGATTTCTTTTCTTTTTTTATAACCGTCGATGAACAACCGAAACAATTTTTGGGTTTACCACTACTCGTGTTCAACTCCGTAGCCTTGTCATTTTGAATCCGATTCAGAAGACAAGGGAACTCCTGGATCAAGTATTGGGAGAAATTTGCCTTCTTGGAGGACTTTTTGCGGTACATGGAGAGGAAGACCACGAGTACCTCTCCTACGTTAGCCTGAGGGCAAGGGGACTCTAACCCATGATCACTGTGGTCGGTGCAAGCCGGATGCGGAATTCGTATCAACCAGCCACCGCCGGGATCGAACCCTGGTTCACCTCGTTGGAAGGCGAACGCTCTATCCCCTGAGCTATCGCGGCTCAATGGATATCTATTGGAATACTAGAGTCGAGGCTGATAGAAGTAGAATTCTGCGGATCATAGACTTGGGCAACCATCACAGGTTCGGCATCCAGAAAGACGACGCGCTTCAAAACATCGTGGATTCCAAATTTTTAAAATTCGGGTAAGAAATGCAAAACATTCCAGGACTGTTGTAAAAGACAAAAGATTATAGTACCTTGATCGCACATGATGCCTCCCCAATTCACTTCGCATATGCACTCCCACGGATTTCCACTGCAGTAGCCATGTTTGCATCCTGGATAAGGGACGCACCTGTCACACAACTCAGATTTCCATCCATGTCTGCACCTGCAAGCATATTGTACGAAATACTTCATATGGACGACACACATTGAAATGCATTGTTGAACACTTTCCATTATCTACACTATCTAGGGCCAAAAGTATCTCGTGGTCTGCTAGTTTCTGTGGTTGGAACTCTAATGGCAATATTTCTGCCCATTTTCTCTTTCAACTGCTCCATCGAGGCTTGACGAAATGGGTGTTTCTCAGAGCATACCGTAGAACACCTTTTGGGGACAAAAGATGCCACTACAAAGCACTCACTTCAGCTGAGATGGAAGTCCTATTCAAAAAACTGATGGAACGACTTGTGCAGATGGATGCAAAAGGGGGCATCCTTCACCATAGGGTGTCCAGATAGTTTTGGTCAGATAGTGTATGGTAACAGCAAAAAATGGCTATTTTAACACTGCGTTAACTTTAGAACAGTGGTAACCAACTCGCCCCCCTCGAAGCCTTTCTTGGGGCCCGAGAATATATTAGTTGTCATTTTTTGCGAACAATTTTCGTAAAAAATCTATATGGGTTTAAATTACTTTTCTTTGTTAAAAAAAAAATCTAATTTCTAAGTTCCTGTGAAATTTAACATACCACAACGGTGCAAAAAAATTTTTTTTCTCAGGTAAAAATCTACTTCTTATTTTAATTTGTAATTCAATATTTTTGTTTTGTTCAACTTGATAAAAAACTGATAGTCATATTTAATGTTCCTTCTAACATAAAAGAGTCCTATATAAAATATTGATAAATGGGATGGAATCTGTTAAACATTCCAAATCATGGGTTGCAAAGGATGTTTCATATCCTTCCCCTATGTACGTGTTTCACAAAATACTTTTACCTTCTTCAGCATTCATATTTAGATTGAAATCTACCGTCCTTTTTTTTATCACTTAAATAAATATTTTTCCTTTATATAAGTTATATTTCATTCATTTTCTGTTAACCTAATGGATATCTTTGTGAGGGAAGATGAATGTTGGCGATCACTTTCCGATGAGCACTCAAAACAGTTTTCGAAGTCACGGTCAGATTCAATCATTTTCTGTAGCCACTGAACTTATATTGCTTTTAAAGAGAAGTTTTCCAACTACTTTTAAGAATGACTCAAACCGAAGCCGAATTAAAATTTTTTGTCGGCAGAATGTATGACGAAACTAGTGCGAAAGGAAACTTACTAAAACGATCACTTTCTGATGAACTAGAGCGCTCATGTTTTGAGAGACCCTCTGAGCTGGACGACAATGTATATCGGAATGCTTTCCAAAACAATCAGAATGAATCACCCTATCATCACAAAGCGCTGTTAAAAATGTCTTTCCGAAAAACTACACTATTCAAATCTCATTCGGTACCAAATTAAATAATAATTATTTAACGACAATTTTCTCACAAGCATTATATAATATTATTACAACAGGAAATAGTCAATCGAAATTTCAACTGGAACATTTTAAATGGAGCTCTGTACTGTTTCCTGCACGCAGAACACCAAAAGGATTCTTAAATGAAGATCAAAAATGTCCATCATCAAATGTTGGAACTATCATGAACCGTCCCAATGTAGGGACTGACCCCCATCAAACCATCCTTCTCTTGATGGTGAACAATTATACCATCATGGAATGTTGTTGGCATATCAAAAACATAATGGAAAATGTTGGAGGACCATCAAATGATGTTGGACCCTCGTGAGACACACATCAAAATTGCTTGACTTGGGTTGCTTCTTAAATCTATTTGTTTTTGTTAAAAGAATAAAATAAATATGTGCTGCAATAATATAAATGTGAATTGTAAAACAATTTTAATGTAGTAACCAAAACTCGAAAAATCACTTCGCATTCGATGCTAATTTTTCTCAAGTTCCAGAAATCAGTATTTTAAACGTAGGCTTAAAAAAGACAATCTAATGTTTTTTTTTATAACCATCGTTGAACAGCCGACCCAATTTTATTGGGTTTACGACTAGTCATGCCTTGTCATTTTGAACCCGATCCAGAACACAAGGGTCAAGTATTGGGAGAAATTTGTCTTCGTAGAGAACTTTTTGAATGGAACTCACCCGTTACATGGAGACCACGAGATCCTCCCACGGTTAGCCTCACGGCAAGTGAACTCTAACCCGTCTACCACTGAGGATATTTCACGTCAGCACTGTGGTTCGTGCAAGCCGGATACGCAATTCGTGTTGACCCGTCATAGCCTGGATTCGCATCATTGGAAGGCTCTATCCCCTGAGCCATCCCGTCTCTCAATCTAATGTATGCAATCATGAAAAGATAAGAAATTTCCTCATCCATACTTACAGGCATTGCCCGGGCTGTTCACAGTATCCATGTTCAGCATGACACCCTTCTTTACACACAGCTGAAAAAACAATATTCATTTTTAGACAGTCATGACATTGTTCAACAAGTGAAAGCCATGAGAGATGGCCATTGCTCCAAAACAGCATAAATGTTCATTTTATTTAAAAAGAAGTGTGTAAAAAAAAGCGTGGAAGCATGTCAAAGTAAATCTCCATAAAATACAGGGCCAAATGATTAGATGTAAAATCATTATTATCAGGTAAATATTATGCAACTTATGTGTACTGATCTGTAATATAAATTCGACGATCGGATGAATTAGACGATATATATAAATATTTATTATATCAAGCTATTACATTAATTAGATCGAATGATGAGTTTTAATAATGACTTGTTTTGCACGATTATATTTGAACACGATTCGTGAGATATCAATGCTATACAGGAGCGTAAACAAGCATCCGAGTGAAAAAAACTTTTGATAATTTTACATGGAATGCGTCTAATAATAATATGGCTGTATTCAATGTTCTAAAACAGCATTTTATTTAAACTTTGCAAAAACCATGTCTCCAAAAAATGTATAATAAAAAAAAACTAACCTTGTTCACAGGTCTCCCCCTTCCATCCTTCTAAACATATTTTTTCTCCCTTCTCGTCGCAGGTGTAATGTCCGAACTTGTCATTCCTTGCCTTACAGAATACTGTACAGGTGCTGTTGTAATAATAAGGACCGCACACCACTCTGATACGGAAATTGATCTTGGCCGCACTACCCCTATAAACTAGTGTATGCCATTCTGTACTGGGTAGAATTATTCCAGAATATACTTTGCGTTCAATTATTCCTGAAAAAGAAACATTTCCAATTAAAGAAGTGAACACTTAACGACCTTCTCGGGTCCGTTGGGGCCGCTTGACAGTGATGTACAGGAACTCATTAAAAATCAAATGTAAATAGGTGTGCGAATTTTACACTTTATTTAGAAACATTTTCCCCTGTGGTTATAGCGAAACACAAAATCATATAAATGTGTCACACATGTGTTTGTCGTTGGCACTCGACCCTTTTATTGACTTATAAAAAATTCGGGAATGGAAGACTTTTGGAAATTTATTTTTGAAATTCCAGTGTCCATTAAGACAAATATCTTTTTAATAAAATTGCAATGCGTTGGCTGTTGGACCACCCAACGTAGACTTTTTATAAAATTAAAAGTTCGTAAATACCGAGTAAAATACCAGAATGACTGAAAAGAATTTAGATAAAGTCAATGTTGTATAATTTTATCAGTCATCAATTTTATTAAAGTGTGCTTATTTTTATGTTAGAGAATAGATAAAATAATTTAAAATGCACTAAATTAAGATCTTTTAAACTTGGAAAAAGAAAGATGTTTCAGACTTCGTTTTAATTTAACGAAAACATTTTAAAATGATATAATTCTTATAAAAATTTCAATCTCAATTAAGGGCTGGAAATACATTACTGGGAAACAAGAAGCTGTCGTAGATTTAAACAAAAACGTACACAAAGTTAAATGTTTTTTTTTTTTACACCCTTTCCAACCCATAAAATATCTTAAAAGGGTTTAGTAAAAAAAAAAAAATGTTTTTTTACTTACGGAAAGCATTTTCATTCACACTATCCAATGCATCCAATATGAAAGTAAATGATCTCTGAAATATTTAAAAAAAAAAATATCACAAATGAATATTTATAGACATAGCATTTCAACAAAGATCATAATAATAGTTTATAATCGGGTTTTCGAATTGTAAAACTTACATCTTAACCGCTTCCCTTAATTATATTAAGAAATAAAAAAATAAATAAAAAACGTATTTTTTTATTTTATTAATAAATACAAGAAGCTAAAACGAAACACAATTTACAAGTTCTAAGTTGAAATTTTAATTTTAATTAATATGTGTAAAAAAAGCAAACAAACATTTAATTTACCATCACGAGTTAGCTAGGGAAAATGAGAAAAGTTAAATCACAGTTCTTATGATAAACACTCAAAGTTCCCAAAAGCCAGTGAAATGATTTTAACCGTTCATTCAGCAACCATCGTCCCATAATCTAACAGAAAAACTAACAAAGAAGACCGGCCTAGTGATAAAACAGAACACATTCTGGAGATATTTGCAAGTTAACTCGGGACATTTTAGGCCACCAAAAAAAGATTCAATATTGAACCTTTTACTATAGGGAAACCTTATACAGTCAGACCTCGATATAAGGTCACCCTAAGGGACAGCGCAAAAGTGACCTTATAAGCGTGGTGACCTTTTAACCGATTCATTAGCAGTTCGTAACTAAGCACGTAAATAGTACACATTAAGACTTTTTAAAAATGTTAATACAAATGAAAACGATCAGCCATAAATTAAATGTTTAACTCAATAAATTTTAACAGAATTAGTTAAGAATTAAAGAAAGTTAGATTTAAAAAAAAAAGAAATTAATTTACAATAAAGCNAAAATGTTAATACAAATGAAAACGATCAGCCATAAATTAAATGTTTAAGTCAATAAATTTTAACAGAATTAGTAAAGAATTAAAGAAAGTTAGATTAAAAAAAAAAAAATTAATTTACAATAAAGCTGCTTACAAATTTCCTCAAAGTGCACATACATACATTACACCTTACCTTACTTAAAATAATCATTTATGCAGGTCTGTCTTGTTTTTGGTTTCATTTTTTGAACAATATTTCTAGATTTTGTAACTTCTCAAAATGTTACTCAGCTCCCTCATGATTTGTAAAAAAATTTCGTATCACATTTATTGAATTGGAGGTTTCCACATGGGTTACAGCTACAGTCTCAGGATCACTGTCGTTGTCCTCACTGTCCACAACTTGTGAAACGATTTCAGAAATTGTAGCTTGTTCGTTGGCTGCAACATTTTCCTAGAACTCGAAAGGTGTAATTGCCTTGTAAGGAAGTTAAATAGGCTTTTGTTAGAAAAGAACTTCCCTCGCTTCAGATAAAAATGACCTTATAAGCGATAACAATTTTTAAAACTTGACCATTTATCCAATATTTTGTAACAAAGAATTCCTATTCAGTGAGCCGGGACTTTGGAAAAGTGACCTTATATGCGGATGACCTTCTATCAAGGCCTGACTGTAATTATAGGAAAACTAGAAATTGTTTCCAAAGTTGAGCCACATCTCAAGTTGTTATCCGTCGTATTAATTTTATGGAGGGAGGTGGAACTTTACTATGTAGAGAGAGGATTACAAATCGTTCAGATTTAGTAAGTATGAAAAAGTTCTCTTCTCTATGCACAGTTGTGGCGTAACTACCACTACAAATATTAAATACCACTTCACTAGTATATAAGACATCTTGAGGCTACCTTTTGATAGATGAAGGTTCCCCACACTGTCTAAATTCGCACTCCATCTTCAATACTCAGGTGACTTTATTGTTTGGACTTGTCTATCAACTGATTAGACGATATAAATTTGACGATATAGAATATTTATGATATCAAGCATTATACTAATTAGAACAAATGATTACACGCACTGTAATAATGACATGACTAGATTATATGCAATATTTTTATATTTAAACATACATATTCGGAAGATTTTTTTTATAGACTTCATATTTGTATTTATTTTCATTACAATACACGAACGAGTGAAGACCTGTTAAAGCCGATTAAAAACAGTACAATTATAATCTTGCATTGCGTCTAATAATTTGTCCAGAATGTAAAACATTTTACTAAACACTTTTTATTACGTTATTTGGAGATAAAATTTGCCTGAAGCTATAAAGTGCAAAGTATATTTAGAAAAAAGTTAGTTCACACTTAACAAAAACATTGTTTAATCCACCTTAGATTTCAACTTGAGTTGTGATTTTCATTACTCGAGGGGTACATGAATAAGTGCTGTCGGGTTCATTCAATAGTACACCGGGAACATAACTTTTGAAGTACTACAGATGTTCTGGGAAAAAGGACAATAAAACTAAAAACGTATCGTGTCGAGTCAAAGTAATTTTATCAGTAGTATTCGCCTCTGCTGTCATCAAAAATTACTGGACGTTTTTTTTTCTTTTTCTTTTTTACTCTTTTTCAAAAGAAAACTTAATTCGCCATTTAATGAAAATTAAAATGATTTTGACTAAAGTTATTGAGCAAAGTTTGTTTAAAAGGGGCAAAAAAATAATTTTTCTTTCTGATTGTACTGAATGAAATTCGTTGAACTATCGTTCAAATTTTTTATAACTTTAACACTAAACATACCAACACTTAATATAATACCTGTCAAATGACCGGGCTTTATGCTTCTTGATTGAACGTATGAAATATGGATGTTAGGAAGGAAATAAGCTAAAAAACACTTTATTATAATTAAACAAAACACAGAGAATAAGATTTTTTAATTCAACCCATTTTTTGCATGTATCCATTGTACATTTTCCGAAAACATATTTCTTCTAATTATTATTTTTGCTATATTTATACTTATAATTATAAGAATTATAATTTTTTATAATTATTCTCATAATTAATATTATTTCTTCTCAGAACTTGTGCTGTTTTGACTGTTTCGACATTTTTCTGGGTAAAAACTTAGTTAGAAATGATGTAAAGCTATCTCCATTCGAAAACAATAGCATGTTTTGTAATTAGTCAGCTGTTCTGCATCGAATAATATTGAATACAGTATATTTTTAATTCTTTTAACAAGATTTAATTCTTAGCTAGCTGGCAATAATTTTCTTCCATTGAAAACTTAACAATAATTTAAAAAGGAATTTTATTTTGAAGGAAAACATAAATTAAAGTACTAGAACAATTGATTAGTATATTAATGGAAAAGTAATATACCTGGTATCGTAAAGAATAAGATTTTGAGAAATGCTAAAATTTAATTAAATAGTTGGAAAAATAATTTTGCGAAACAAGCACAGATTTAACAAATTTATTTTAAGATTAAAACGGTGTATAAGACGTTTCGAAAGATGCTTCAAAATGTTGACTACGTATTCGCATTAATAATTATAAAATATATATAATGAAGAAATTAAATATTCCAAATAAATGCATACGTTTGTTTAAATTTATTATTTACTCTACGCGCGCTAAATTCCTCGTAAGTTAACCACACATAAAGATTAATCGTCCCATTTAAATATTTCTTCATTGTCGCCAAATTATTTTTTTAAAAATAATTAATTTTTCTCGACTTCTACCAAATAAAAACTGTAGAAACTTTAGATTTTGCTATAGAAAAATACGTAGATGGTATAAAAGCTTCATAATTCATCTACAATTAAACAAAATAATAATTATTAAAAATTATTTTTTGCTTGAAATTATCTTCGGGTAAATGGGTTTTATGAGTGAGTGCATTTTTTTAAATTGCTCAATTATTTTTAAAAATATGACTAAAAACGCAAAAAGTAAAAATAACATTAAGGGGTCCGAACTTCATAACAATGGAACATAATTTAACCTATTACATAACATATATTATATAAATATAGAATATTTATTTTATCAAGTATTATATTTGTATATTATAATAATTAGACCCAATTATTAGACTGTAGCTTTTTAATAATGGCATGTTTTGGACGAGTGGCTTTTTTATTTAAACATACATGTCATGGGTTTTTATTCAAGACTTCCTTTTTGTATTTATTTTTAACGTATTGCAAAACAATGTAAACCCATTGATATACGAACGTAAACAAGTGATAAAATAATTTCAGCAGCGGAAAAACAATAAGGCTGTATAGAGTATCACCTGATAATTAAGACTTTGCAAAGAATCTTAGAGTGCGTGTAATAATTTGACCAAGGACTGTATATATATAAATTAGAAATACATATATAAAAAATATATATATAAAATAAATATATAAAAATGTATAAATAAAAATATATATAGAAAAGTATATATAGAAAAATATATATAGAAAAATATATATATAAAATAAATATATAAAAATGTATATATAAAAATATATATAGAAAAATATATGTATAGAAAAATATATATATAAAAATGTGTAGAAAAATATATGTAGAAAAATATACATAAAAATATGTATAGAAAAAAAATATATAAATATATAAAGAAAATATATGTAGAAAAATAAGTATAAAAAAATCTATATAGAAAAATGTGTATAGAAAAATACAGCTCGAAAAATATATATAGAAAAATATGTATAGAGAAATATATATAGAAAATATATATAGAAAATAAGTATAGAAAAATATGTATAGAAAATATGTATAGAAAATTATATATAGAAAATATGTATAGAAAAATGCATGTAGTAAAATACATAACAGCAATAAAAATCATGAATGAACTCTTACCGTCCACCTGAATGTAAAAGGTAATTTTAGAATAACTTCTTTGGAGGGTTGAGATTCTACAGAAAATGAATTTGCAGCCACTACTTCAGTAGACTGATTACCAAATGTGCAGACGCCACTTGTTTTCACATCAGTTTGGTATTCTTTCAGACAAAGTCGGAAGGCAGTCTTACAGGGCAATGGACAAGACCCATCGTCCGAGCGGAAACCACCGCAGCAAGAACCATCCGCCACCTCACCCCTGTAGTTATGTATACTCAAGATTTGTAGTTCAAATGTACCGAGGGCTGAGGATGAAGGCGGTAACATCACCAACAACAACAACATCAAAAGATAGTTCATCTCATATGCAATGAGGAAGGTTTGAAAACATAATCCTTTGGAGAAAAGTTACTTTTATAAAATATTATTTTTTATTCGAAAGAGTGAGTCATTTTTATTCTTTTTTTAATTTTAAGACTTCAGCAAGTGTTATCAATCCATTTCATGTCGTGTTATTTCAATCCATTTCATGTCTATGGCATGTTAAGAATGTCAGTAAGCTACAGTACAATTTGCCATGCCGCCCTATTCAAACATGCCATGTGTATGAAACTAACCAGCTGTCTTTTTTTTAGGAATGGTTTCGAAAATACTCCTTCAAAATGAAATGTAATATAATTTAAGAAATGAATAGGAATGAAACTATTCTAAGAGAATACGCATGGCATTGGCTATATTAATAGTAGCGCTATATTAAGTCACATTGCAAGACTTCATAATAGTTGTGAAAGTGAAAAACGTGTAGTGCATAGTGCGGAATGAATATAAAACCGGTGATAATTTCGAGCAAGGTGTACGGTGGGGGGTTGCTGTAGAAATAATTGTCAACGATCGCCAAGCTTCCAGAGATTCTTTTGTCGCTGTATTGGGGGGGGGGGGGGTTTTNTGCTTTTGGAGGGGGGTTGGGGAAGTTTGTGGTGTTCGTAGAGTTCAATGGAAATTCAATAGACCTTCTGTGAATAAAGTTTAGAAGAGTGTAATATATCCAATGATATTCCGATTTTTTTTTTTCTCTGTTAGCAAGTTATTGTAAAAAAAAATTATTCCATTTCTAACGATTAAGATAATAAGTAGAGAGTGTTTTTGCTGCGTACAGTGTATTTTTTCTAAAATATATATTTATTTTTTCTTTGCGTATTGTTTTATTTTTTGTGTTATTTATTTCCTTATTAGCTTATTTATTTATTTATTTTTTTTTTTTACTTTTATTTTATCTCAACAGAATTTTCTTAATTCTGTAGAATTTTGATTTATGGATTATTATGAAATCAAATTTTTTATGGTTGGAAAGTCGTGGAAAAAATTATAAAGTCCATTTCTAAGACGTATAATAAAAAGTGTATGCAATATTTTGGCTTGAAATTAATAATTTAATATTTTATTCGCTTATTAAATGTTTTATTTATTTATTATTTTATTTATTTCTAAATAGAATTTTCTTCATTCTATAAAATTTTCTTAATTGATTTCCCAATTTTGTACAATAAGCAAGTCATGGAAAATAAATTATAAGGTCTAAAAAAAGAGGAAAGAAGGAAAAGTTTGTTTTTTGTGGAAATAAGTCTTTCTGCCAAACATTTTTTTTAAAAAATTTGCTATTATTATTTATTTATTAATAATTTTGTTTCGTAAATCATTTAACTTCATTAAGTCATTTGTTTTCAACAATTTAATTTTATAAATAAATGTTTATTATTCTGTTTTATTTGTTAGTGTTTATATTGTTTTATTTTATTTCGTTATTTATTTATTTTGCTTTCAAAATAAAGGAGTTTTTTTTCTTTCGATAGAGCTTTTATGAAGTATTTTGCAGTAAAAAAAAAATGAAGACCTGATTAAGAAACTTTTTGCGAAAAGAAATATTTCTAATGCATACAATATATATTTTTTAATTTACTATTATTTATTTTTATATACATTTTCCTTATTTTCATTTGTTTTCCTTCTTTTTTTAATTTACTTCACATGTTGAGGTTATCATGTTTTCACTATTACAAATTCTCTAAACTTGAAGAAATACCGTGAAATATTGCAAATAAAAGGTCATTTAAATGCATATTTTAATAGCTGAAAAGAGTCATTCAATTTTTTTTCCTTCCTTCTAATGAATGTTTTCACTAATATATTCCAAACTGTCATTCCCTCGATACAACCCTTTGCGAGAGCTCTTTTAAATGTAGACAGTCAAACCCCGCTATAGTGAACAACTCCCGGATAGAGAGAACGAAATGTTTGCTACACTGTCTTATTTTTGTGTGGATCAAAAAAAGAGTTTTTTCTGTCTTCACTTTTTAAGAAATATTTTTGAAATGTCTACTTCAAAATAAATACAGATTTTTAAAACCATCAATGTAGCAACAAGCATATTTTCTTGTTTGCTTCATTACTGAATGGATTCAGCATTCAAAAAAGCCTCCATCTTCCTCCATCTGGACAAATGCTTCAAGTCAAAACCAATGAATTTACTACTTTTATGCTGACAGGTTTAAAAAGCGAAATAATTATCGGAGGAAAAATTATCGAAGAGTCAGGAAATGTTTCCATATCTGATGTGGGCTCATCAGCTAAAGAAAAAAAATTTTTTTTTTTTTTTGTTCTTGTACGCAAGACGATGAGTCATAAAAAATAAAACACATTTTTGTTGCTTTAGCTTTCCAGTCATTTTTGTATTTCATTTTATTAGTCATTTATTTAAATAATATTTAATAAAAAGGGGGAACCATTAGTTAAAATTGGTTGTGGAACGGATATAACGAAGTACCGGTTTTAGTGAACCGAAATTTCGTTCCCTTGAAGGTTCACTATAGCGGGGTTTGACTGTATTTATTATTGAAGGAGGAAAAAAAAACACTTAGGAAATCGACGATGTCACTGAAATAGTATTTTGAAACCAAAATATTATAAATTCAAAAAGCATCGTTTAAATAAAATTGACGTAAAGTTCTAATAATTTGTAATGATCGTGGATTATATAATATGGCTGTATTTGCATAAACTGCTCCTATATCATAATCAAATAATCCATTTTCAATGTATTATGTTACGATTTTAAAACTATTCATGGATTAATGCATAAAAAAGAAACTTTTTAAAGGAATTTGAATGAAAACCCTCCCTTTTCCGTTAGAAAACTGGTAATTATTTTGATTGACAACTGTTCTTTACAATCAATATCTTAAAAATGCCTCAAGTATGGAATAAGAAAAATTAAACGCATTCAAAACTTCAAAACGAAGAAGAAACGCAAATGATAATCACCAAAGCATGGGGGACAGAGAAAAACAACAGATCTTAAATAGTTCAGAGTCCTAATAGACTGAATTCATTTCCTTCAGCAGGTTTCGATGCTTCACGCCTCGCTTTCTTCAGTAGTAGTTCGGATTCCTCGAATAGTATTCGTTTTCCTTGATTACGTATTAATTTGCAGCACCCATTCAGAAATTTGTTTATCTTAAGTTTCGACAATTGAAACATAAATGCTAAAAGTCTAAAAGAAAAAAAAAAAATTATTATTTTTAAAATATTATTATAGAATCATTAATTTTGTCTTTTCTATATTTTGAACCATATCATGGGTTAGATAAAAAAATAAATTGGTTCAATATGTGAAATTCTTAGTTGTAGTTTGATAGACAGTTTATATTATATAGTATACTATATATACTATACAGATATACAATTATATGTAAAATTTTAATTACTCAGGTGATACAGCGCTTTATTGTTTTTAAGCTGACTGTTTCCACTTGTTTACGTTCGTGCATCAATAGGTTAAAATAGACGATGTATAATATATAAATTTGACGATAGGATGGGGGTTGGGGAAGTTT